GAATTTGACTTGAAGCCCATTTGAACCGGTTGATGCATCATTGGGAAGCACAATGTGTCCAATCACCTCCAGATCACAGCCCCGAATGGGCCTTTCCAATTTGCAATGAAAAACCACTAGGACTGACATTCCGGAACATATGCAAAGCAAATTCGTGGCGCAAGAAATGGTATGATTTTGCATAAATTTCCAAACTGGAAAAAATGGTTCCTAAATGTTCCTAAGGTTTCACGCTCGGTTCACGGTAATAGTTGGCCTTATGCCAGTAATAGAAGGTCTTTATCTCTAGAGGGTCCGTTCACGCTCGGTTCAGGCTCGTTTCACGCTAGCAATTTTGGACCCCCTGACAGTTCATATACCATGCATTCGTGGTGGTTCCAGCCCTGGATTCCCAATGATAAAATAGTGTGGGGTACACAATAAAAAACAACAACTTGGATATTTATGGTAGGTGAAGGGAAGTGAGTATCCTGAAATTTATGTATATATATATCATTTCCTGCAGGATTATTGTCCGCGTGCAAAGCTGTCATATATGATATATCAATATATATCATTAATCACCAGAAATGACTTCAGGATACAACTCAAAGCCATCAAAATCCTGACAGAAACCAACCGAACAACTGATCGAAACTGATGGTTGAAAACACTACGCCACCCAAAAGGTCCAAGTAATAGTATGTCCCCCATCAAGTAACAGTAGGTCCTGATCATCAAAGTTAAAAGGGCAAGTTTTACGAGGTCATTGGCCTGGAGGTCATGACATGGTATCATAAATTGGGGTCCCCAAAATTGGAGGGGATCTCATGTCGGGGGAACGGAGAAAAGCATGGAATGCAAAGAAAAGGGTACCATCTTCCAAACCAATGCCTGATGCAGCCCATGTGGGTTTTCCATGAAACCAGGTTCAACCATTGGTGAAACCCAAGGACCTTTCAGAAGTTAATCTCTGGGATGCTTATCATTTGAGCAATGAAAAATACAATGTTTTTCAAATCCCATTGTAGTGATTGGCAAATATTGGCAAATGGGTATCCCTGGTATCGGTTGTTATTATAGTTATAATGGTTATATATAGTAATCACAATTAAACAAACATATCATTGGAAGTGCACTACATAAAGAACATGCATCTGAGCCTTAGCTAACGGCGAATCTTAGATGCTCTGACAAAACAAACAGGGTCAAACATAAATATCTGTAGCACACACACATTACATGTAGCAAAAGCCAGACTAATCCCTTTCCGAATTTCCAATCATGTTTAGGGAAATTTATACTAAAATCCCAGAAAAATCCCATAATTGATACCAAAATATCCCGCAGAACCATCTAATGGGGGTGCGTTTTTGGGGAACGTGATTACTCCCATGTTGAGTTGATGGTTAAGAAGTCCCGATTTTGGACCGGTGGTTACCCTCTGCTAAAGAATCTAACGCCGAACATAGCTATGGGAAATTGATGAACATGGACCATTTATGCAGTTGGACGATTTACCCAAATAAATCACCATGATATCCCTTGAAATCATAATTTTTGGAGGTTATACCGTTAAACCTCCATCTTATTATAATAACCATTCTACGGGGTGCTGCTCAAGCTTGGCCCCCCTGCCATGGAGGGCGGTCGAGTGTCAGACTCCCGGCCTATCGAAGCGACGTCGCTGGGTAGCAATCCCGTTTTGGCGAGAAAACCCTGTGTTATATATATAATATTATATATATATATATGGTTGACAACAATGGAATAACCATGGGATAAACCAACAAATGGGTAATTTGTAGGAATAATCATGGAATAACACCACACAAAACCTGGTTGAAGATTGAATCTAGTCATTGTAAGTATGTATAATTATATATTTATATACATAGTATCTTCCCTATCTTCCCTCATTTATGGCTGAACAAAATCGACCAGGGCAAGGGATTGCGCCATCAATACGCCATCCATAAACCGTCCTATATAACTAGGTAGGCTGCTAACCTCATGTTATACAAGATTATACAAGTAGGTTGATAACCCCAGCATACACCTCAAAAAAAAAACATAATGTTACATGAATACACATATGGGATCACATGGGTGTGTATATATATATATATTATTGTCATCCATAACATATGTCTGCAGGCATAAAACTTAGGAATTTCACATATAAAACAGTGCTTCCCGTATATGGATAACATACATGTCCTTTTTCTTTCCTTGTTTACTTAGTATACTTCATACTTTACTGTAATGCATCTTGTCTGTCCCCATTGGAACAAATTGTCCACGTACAGTAAGGGATTTACGAAGATCAAGAAAGTGATGTCATGTATTCCCCAGCAGAACAATGATCAAACATGGTTGCACCACACACTAGAAGCTAGCAGAAAAGAGCTGCAGCATGTTTCACCTCACCAGTGTGCCACCGGCCTCGAACTTAGTGACGCCACTGTGCCTCCCTCATTACGGCAGCGACGTGGTCATCATTGGCAGTGATTCGGATAAGCTTTGAGTGCCGAGAGTGGGGGAAGCGGCACTGCTTGTCGCAAAGTAAGGGCCACGATCACAAGTGGAGTGACTCACGGAGTTGCGCTTTTGCAGCATTACTGTGCTGCAGTGTGCTTGGCCGAACCTTCTTCACAGCCAGAGCCAACCACTCTTCTTTCCAAAGCTCGTTGCTCAAGGTAAAGACTCTGCGGGTCACCGCGGCCTCTCAACATACTCCGTCCACGAAAAACGGTGTCATCACCCCAGTCCCGTTTGCGAACACACGTTTCATCCACCTCAAAATCATCCATTGGTTTGCCTCAACATAGTGCTGTACACATGCCTACCACCACCAAAGTAAATGCAGCAAAGAAGAATGTGGGGGGTGCAAACAATGTCGGGTACCTATATATATATATATATACCTATTTATATGATGTGTTTTTGAACAGATATACGTATAAATGGTGAAACCCACCATTTCTCAGCACATTGGCATGAAGTCCTATTTGATGGTTAAATCCCATTAAACCCCATGAAAACCATTAAACACCCATTAAAAAAACATTGCTCCATGGGGGTATCTCCTCCATTCCACCAAGCCGCTACTCTTCATGGGTACCGCCGGGACAGCCTCAGTGCGGAGTGCGGATACATGATGGGCATATATTCGTTTAAAAAAAATATTGGATAAAACGGGATAAATGATTTTTAATATATAGTTGTAATAGATAAACTATGTTTAATAGTTATCTATCATTTTAATAGTTTTAATATATAGTTAATGTATAAATGATACAAAAGGATACTGATGATACCATCGAAATGGATAAATGATTGTTTGCTGTATTTTTGTACATAAAAATGTAATCGGTGTGTAGCTGTGATATGATTGATATGATGGATATAATCTGGCCGAATTGTAATAATTCATCAACCTGAAACATAACATAAAAAATAGCTGAAAAGTCCGGCCATTTGGGGATGATTCCCCTACACCTAGCCATCATTCCAGTGATGTCACGACGCGAGGCCATTATAACTAACCCATGCATATTTAATGGGCATATATTGGGTAAATCTCCAATGTATGCAAACATATTGGGGTTTAATATGGTTTAATAGACCCCTTTCTTAATGGTTGATGGGGTTATCATGGGTTATATAATTTCTCGCAAAACACAAAGCCTTATTATCCTTATTTGTTCTGGGGGTGACCTGTCTGGTTTGGGGCAAGGGTTGAATCCTGGGATGGCCTTAACCGAAGGGAATCCTGGGATGAATATAAATCAATGATACCCTCTGGTAAACATACAAAAAGCTATTGAAAATTGCAATTTATAGTGAATTTACCCATTACAAATGGTGATTTCCCGTAGCAACAACTGGAGATTTGACTTAGACATAACAAATAGCATGACCATTTGAATTTCACCAACGAACCTTGTTTGATTTCCCCAAGCAACAATCGGCATTTAACCCACACGAATTTCAATTTGATCAACAAAGGAGTTCACCAGCCAAAAATGAGATTCAACTATATAATAAGAAGCGTAGGCAATCTAATCATCAAAAATCCATGTGCCCACCTCTGGGTGTGAAACCCAAACACCCATGGTTTCGGATGGTTTCAAACATGGCTTGCTGGAAAATCCATGTTTTTCCCATGGATTTTCCCATGATTTCCCATCCTATGCTATGTTTGACTACCGGGTAGGTCCCCCAGGTGAACGGAAAATCACCTGTGGGGCAGACATCACCATGTCTGCTGCTCACGTTTGCTGATTGAATCACAATTTTTGCTCAATCCCACATGTTCTTGCTGAAAATTTGATGTATTATCCTACTTGGAGAAACAAATTTCAGAAGAATGTGTTCATGTTCAATAGAGTATTGGAAAAAAAACATACCGTGCACGCAGTGTACGGACAACATCCTGCCACAGTTGGGATTATAACAGGATAAACCACCATTGGTGCAAAATACAACTGTAGATATATGTCCGTATAGTTAATGATTATACTATTATAATAGCTAACCACCTTGATACTGTAGATACACCATCTACCAACTTCTCAACCGAATCCACAGTATCAACGCAATCATCTCCCTTAGGGCACGACTGGCAGCTCACCCCGGGGCGTCCGCGCCTAAAGGTCGAATGTGTCAAACCAATGGGAAAGTAACCCCACGAGATATGCAAATTCTTGTGACAATTTGTGTCATCATCGTGATTTGCATATTGTTGTAGATTGTTTGGACTAGTGTTTGGTAAATTCAGATTCTACAATACACTGGTATTTTGTTGATCATATACCCATTTGTGGTGAGATCAGATGCAGTGGTAAAGTAGCTACAAGTGTTGGAGAGCAAAGTGTTCACCTGCTGTTTACAATTTGGGTCTGTCCATGCTTGACTGAAATTCAATAGGCTACCCTAAAATCCCATGCTTGGTCATCATTTCTCCCATTGAAGTTGCCATTTTGCAGTGTACCCTGCCATGAACTATCCGCGACCTTTTTTGCTCCGCGCGCAGCGAGTCTTTAGTCATCCAGGAGATCCGCGACCACTTCCTGTGCCAAGAGGGCCAAACCCGAGGGATATTCGTGGACTAAGCGCACTTGTGCATGTACTTCAACCTGGACAATAAGCTATTTAATGCAGCTAGTAGGATGAACCACCAAGAATTGATGTTGGCGTTCTTCTGGCAACAGACTTGAGAATATATGCTATAGTTCAGCAATCACAGCCAACAAATGCCAGAAACGGTCAAACATCCTTTTCTTGTATTTCTGCCCCAGAAATTATCATATCATCACGAACCACTCACGTATAATCTTGCAGGGGGCGGCTGGATCTCTCTCGGCGAATTTCACCAGGCTGACCTCATGGATTCTTTCGCATGTTACACTGCCATTGAGTTCTTTCTATATACGCACTAGATATGATATCCAATTAGATCCCATTATTGGAAGCTTCAGTCAATTATTCACTATTATTATCACAACCTACAATTCTATATATATACATATATATATATATATACATATTTATATTAATTATAAACTTATTACTGTTAATTATTCAATCCCTCCATTGTTAATCATATATACCTGTTGCTTCTCGAATGGAGGGAACTTCACTATGCCCAAAGAATATGGATGCCAAGAGCTCCAAACCGCTCCCTCCGAAGCACAAGCACAATATGTCCATAATATGCCCATAGATGTTCCATCATATGTCCATAAATTAATCCTAATGTGTCCCTAAATTGTCGATCACATTTCCACATATTTCCATGAATAGTCATATTTTCCACACAACAGTGACCACATTTCCATTAATATCTTCATATTATGTGTTCCATATATATATATATATTTCCATGCAGTAATAGTCCATAAATGTCCATAATTAAAATATATGAAGATATAATAAAGATATAAATATATATATATGTAAATATAATAAACCATTATAATTCAATTAATTATATTATAGTTCATATTATGTGTACCATTATAATAGTCCATACAGTAATAAACCATAAAACATATATGAAGATATAATAGAAATATAAATGTAATAAACCATATAATATAATAATAGTCCATTTCCATATAATAGTCCATGTCCATATTATTAATAATAGTCCATGTCCATTTCCATATAATAAACCTTCTTTCATGGTGACCATCACCGACCTCCTCAGCCTTCCGCTTCTTGGGCGCCGCCGCCACCGGTGGAATGTGTTCCACCAAGGCAGCACCGGTGTGGGCGTTGAAACAAACGCTGTTCACCTGGGACGACCAAAAAATGGATGGCTTAGTAGGGCCACACGGCCCAGATTTTTTGGGTCTACAGATGTATATGGACAGTATATATCATAGAACTGACCTTTAAAAATTACATAAGTACCACATACACCTCTATATTATCTATATACAGACTAAAACTCTTTATCAGTTGGGGCCCACCATTAGTTTGGCTGCCTCATGAGTCGACTTTGGGGCGTTCATCCCGTTCATCCCCATGAACCGCAGGGGTTCTGGCACCCGCGGGGTCACAGAACCATCCCGTAGGACAACTGGGTCACAGACTGTTTGTGGATTGCATCGTGCCGATATTTCTGTTAGTTGATGTTAGTTGGTGGTTTCAAAACGTTTGAAACATGACAGAAAGTCATTGGCGATCACTATCGCATGTAGGCACGAAAACAACAAATGTTTGAAACTACCAGTCGAGGGCAACCAGAAGGCCATCTCATCCTCCCCCCACACCATAAACACTAGCAGGCAGAAACCTGTTCAATAGTAGATTTGTTGATGTTCTGGTCCCATCCATGTGATTTTCAATTTGACAATCATGTGAAGGCATTGGCCATCAATCTGGGATAAAAACTCAGCAAACTTATTTCTGCGTATTGAATCTTGGGGGCCCCACCTTTCCAAATTATAAAAATGGATTGATAGGTCGGGCTACAAACTAGTTAATGTTTTAAGAGTAGAGATAAAGAGACTCAGATTGCAAGGACCTGGTACATAGAGGATTGAGGATGCCTGATATTGCCTGCTTTAATGTCCAAAGGACAAACCATCAAGGAATATTGGTTGGGAAATATTGGTTAGGATATTGGTCGGAATAGGCATATTACCAATATTGCAAACCAGCAGGTAATAGCAGGTACCATTTATTGTCTCGGAATGTCATTGACATCAAATCCCAAGCCTGAATTAACAGGTCATATCTGAACCCCAACACCTTGCAAAGACTCATGAAAGGGGCACCAGCACCTTGTAGATCTCCCAACGAAATCCCAATGATTCTCCAATACAAAACCTGGGATTTGGTGCTTGAATCCCCTTGTTTCATGTTTAAATCCCAATTATTGATGGCAAAAAATGCCAGCCAACATCACCAAAGTTGTTGGTCACAGTAAATCACCATGTGTGATGGTTAAATCACCATACCTCACCATTTTTCATGGCCAATGGATCGAACATCTCAGGCTGGCGCCAAGGGAGGATCTTTCCGAGTGATCGCCTACAGACAATTTCAAAGAGGAGATCGCCCAAGGGCAGCAATACGTGTACAGGGAATTTCCCAACTTTGGGGAAATTTGTCATCATTACAATTCATTACATTCAGAACCAGAACCTGAACAACGGCCCTAAATAATATCTCAACTTGCCCAAAACTGATGGCTACATCACATTTCTTTGCTGGTCAGTCTCCATTTCCAATTGGTCAGATCAGCACTTTAGGTTGTTTAGATCACACTGTTGGCTAAGTTACCAGTTTTCATGGTCAAATCCCAATTTTGTTGGTTAAGTAATGTAAAGTCCCCATCTCTGATGGGTTTATTCATCTGTAATATCAACCCTTTAATCCTTAAATTGCATTACTTGCATGTAATCTGCTATGCCCCCACTATCCCTATTCACTATATCCCAGCATACCACCATTTTGGTGGTTAACTCACATGTTTTTCTTGGAAATGGGCCCCCAGTAGTCACACAGGTGGCCTTAATTGGGTTCAATGGGATTTGGCTAGTGAAGTTACTGAACAGTTCACTAAGTGAATTCAACGGTTTATGGCAAATACATATTACGTGTGGTTTAGTTAGCTGTGTTGGGTTTGTCCTTCACTAGGTTTACCCCTGTCAAGCATCCACAAGGACTGACCAATTCATGGGTGGGATTCCAGCCATCCCTACTACGGCATTGGGCTTCCCATGGTTTATCCATTATCCTCAAATTGGGTTGGTTAAATCACCATGATTTGGATCATTTGGCGGGTAAAAATCCCCATGGTCGATGCTAAATACCTACGAAGTCTCAAAGTTTTTGATCAGAACCCATAAGACATGCCATAAATCATCCAAATGCCCTATAATTCTTGTTTGATTTCACCTCCCCATCACTACATACATGTTTTGTGGAGAGTTACAACATCTTAAAACCCATGAAGTTCCCCCATCTTTTGGATCTTTTGGGGTTGAATCATGCTGAATCCCAAAAAACCCTCTGGTAATTTGTGACATAGCTATTGAACATGGCCCAGTCGAACTAGTTGATTTTCCTATCAACAATGGTGATGTTCCATAGTTTTTTGCATGTTTACCAGAGGGTAAACCTCCATTTTTCTATGGTTTTCCTATGGTTTTCCTATGGTTTTCCCGTGGTTTTCCTCTGATTTTCCCATTCAAACCTCCCAGGTCCCGCGGCCGCCTTAATCACCTCCTGCGACAGCAAACCTCCCAGCACCGAGGCTACGTGGATTAAGGGCTCCACGAAGAAATGGCCGAAGGCCTGGCGAACGATGGTGAGAGCCTACAATTTATATTTGATTTCTACAGATGGATTTATAGGATTTATATGGATATATATATATATATACACATAATTATATATATATATAATTCTGTATATATATAACTATAATTATATACATATGGATATGTATATGGGTATATGATATTTGGTATAGTGAGACTTTATGGGGATTTAGATGGCCATGGCATGTTTATAGATGTTTTATGGGATTGAATGTCATAAGCCTCACCAAAAACTTTGAGACTTAATGGGGGTGATGTTTGTGAGCTTTAACCATCAACAATAGCGATCTTAACCCGCCAAATGATCCAAACCATGGTGATTTAACCAACCAAATCTTAGGATAATGGATGATAATGTAGTAAACCTAATGCCATAAAACCCACAATTGGGGATTGTTTTTGTTTACAGTTTTTGTCGCAATATTGGGTATGGCTGGCTTATAAATTGGCCTTGCCACATCAGTGAAAATTACGATGATAAGAGCGACACTGATAGCTCACAAGAACAAGAAACCCACGGTGATGTGCGGAATATAGAAAAGTAACGGTGGTAATGATGGCAATCCTAATTACTATTTGTGTCCCAGAAAGAATGCCGGCGATAGCAGCACACATATCAGAAACACGTGATAATGATAATGGCAATAATGGCGCTCATGATAGAAACAACAATACGCTTGTAGCAAACAGCGAAAATACAGTTTGGCCTTTCAATTCGGCTTGATATGGCGAATGGTTTGGGATTGATCACTGGGATAGATGAATTCGGCTGTGTCTTCCGCGGGAATATTGGGGGGGTAGGGTATCTTCTCAGGAAATATTTGGAGCTTTAGGGTATGATCTCCCACTCAAACGATTGCTTGGATGTGCAGAATCCATTCATTGGCTGACAACCTGCCCAGTTCACAGGTCATTGGGAACCATGTAGAAAACTACTGGTGGTTGCACTCACTGCTTTGAGCGTTTGTAGCCCAAATAAAAATGGGATATGCCCCAGTTGTATGTGGGAAGTGGGCCATTTATCACTTCCAGTTGATAAGTGGGTAGACATAGACTAGACATAGTCTCAGGGGCTACGGCTATATATCCGATCTTGTGATGGCCACAACCATAGTTATATTCGTGTACATGTATAATCCCAACTGCACCGCTCCAGAGTGGGATCTTACGGGGGGCTACATCGAAGCTACTTTTCATTTGTATCCACTGGAGTGTTACCTATACTAATATATATCTGGCCACCACCAAAAACTCAAAGCAAATCAGCTCGCGGCCTGCTCCATGCCCACCAATCCATCCACGGCTGGTTCACACTTCACCTGGAGAGTCGTTGCTGGTTGGTTGAAGGGAAGATGTAGGAAAAACTGCACCAGCTAATGGAAAACAATGGAACGTACTGCACCATTTGAAGAACTAGTTGATTTAGGTCTGGTGTTTATGGAACAAATTTCAGGAAGTTCCCACAAAAGGAAATACGGATCCCAATCCCTCCACATAGAAATGGCGTTCAAATGCTTTCAACTACGGTTACACACCAGTTGCATCCAGTAGTTTGAACCCACACCTTATACTTCGCATATTTGGTGGTTTCTAAAAATGGAGGCTCCCCAAAACCATAGCTTTTAATACGAAACTGATCTCATGTTTGATGATTTCAGGCTCTCCGCCTCACGACAGTGAGTTGCGAAGTCTGCCGCGCGGCTGGGAACCGCTTTCTGCGGGTCCTTCTGGAGAAAGGACGCCAAAAGGCCGATGAGTTTGAAGGAGGCGTCGCTCTTCCTGACGCAACTCGAAGCAACTCGAAGCAACTGCCCGGGTCATGTTTTCATCCGCAAAATCAGGAGTTTTAAACACGACAAAGGTGAAAGAGAACACTGGACATGTTGTTCATATTACTATAGTTGTTTCTGAAATCTCATGAGACACCGCAGGGGTCTTTAGGTGAACCTGTTGGATTTGAGGATGATAAATGGGCCACTAACTATCTGACAGCATGAAAAATAACCTTAAGGTCAGTACACCCCAGGTTGAGGGCCTTACCGTATTCTTCTGGTGAGTGGAATTCGTAGTAGCCAGGAGCCAAATTCCAGGGTTTTCTTGCAATTATATAATATAAAGGTCCACCAAACTGCCATGGGTTCCCCCAATGACAGTCGTGGACTCAAAAGGTGATCTGCTTAATCCTCAATGCAAGAAGTGGCGTATTCTGACTTCGGCACAATATTTTGCATGGTTGAAACAGCACAAAATTGCGCTGTACATCCAGTGTGTCCAACTTGCAACAAGAATCTCACACACACACGATATTTGATACCATAATTAGCTTCTGGAAGCTAATGGTTAGCTCACTTGCACCCGGCAATGTCTCAACAAGTGGCACCCCACATCGCCCAAGTGTCCCTTGCAGCAGTTCTGGCACCGCCGCCAGCCAACTGCCGAAGGAGGGGAAGCTGAAGGTTTCAGCTTTCGGCTCCGTAGGGCCTCGACGAAACCCGGCATCCCAGGGTCCAATCCCAGCAACTGCTGGATGGATCGGCATTCTACTGTGTTGGCTATCCCACTGTCCTATCTGCTCCATTAAGGAAATATGGCTGGAAACATGATGAAACATGGGATAATACAGGTGTTCTGATCATCAATATTTTTTTGGGATAATATGGGACATATGGCTGGAGTATAGCCAACATTATGACATGGGAATAATTTTTGCAGTTCATGTTGGTCAATATTCCAGCCCATGTGGGTGCTCCATAATGATGGGGTGAGGTTGGGATCAATGTGGGATCCCCCAGCTATGTTGCCTTAGAACCCCAGCTATATCTGGTTCGTGGTATACCTACCCCTCTGAAAAATATGAAAGTCAGTTAGGATTATTATTCCCAAAATATGGGAAAATAAAATTCATGTTCCAAACCACCAACCAGCTATACATCCACCATATAGGTCCTAGCCTAGTTGTAAACGGTTGTCCATCCCTGTCCCATCTCGGAGATCTCTACCTGCTTCAGGACCTCCCTGAGCGCTGCGATCCTGGATTTTTTTTCGTTCGATACATATACTGGTTGGTGGTATACCTACCCCTCTGAAAAATATTAGCCAATGGGAAGGACTATCCCATATATTATGGAAAATAAAAAATGTTTGAAACCACCAACCAGTATATATGTATATATATAGGTATGACAGAAAATGGTGTATACCTTCCAAAATGGAAAATGGTTACTTAACATTATATACTGTAACCGGCTATGTATTTTTATGGGGAAAGGATGATGAATCATTGGATTTGGGTGTACCCTACTTTCAGAGAACCCCGTATCACCGAGAGAGAGACAGAGAGAGAGAGACCGGGGGGAAATAAAACAAAATACCTCCGGTAATCAAACGTGGCAACAGAAAATCACCCATTTATAGATGAGTTTCCCATTAAAACCTCCACTTATCTAGGATTATCAAATGCCACTTTGGATTACTGGAAGGTGCCAATTGTATTGGTAGGTAGAAATTGTGAACTCTGCACGCATAGAAACAAATCATATAATCCAATCTAATTTAACCATATAGCATACTTCCATCATCTTCCATTCTTCCGACCGTGTCGCCCCAAACGAGATTTTCTATGGCATCGACTCCTGCATGACATGCTCGTGCAGGTCCGAGAAGAAGAAGGACAGCTCCCCAGCCGCCACGGTCAGCAGAAAGCCAGCACCTGAACGTCGGTCCAAGGGTTGTGCACTTGGAGTATGCTCCCACTGATATAATGGTTAGCACTGGTTAGCAATGGTTAATATATGGTCAGTATATGGTTAAATAATGGTTAGTAATGATTATATAATAATGGCCAATAATGGTTAACAATGGGATATTACATGGGATATTACATGGGCTAATAATATATGATATCCATGGATAACTGGTTCATAACCCGAAGTATACAACCCATTGACATACTTGGAGGATCATCTCCCACACATCGTATCCAGTTGACAACCATTACGATCATCCCCATCAGGGGTTTATAACACGACATACGTGTGCATATATATATATATATTGTTGCATATATATATATAAACACATATGATTATACACAACTATAATATATATATATATACACGCACAATATGAATATATAATGGGTTAGCAAATGGTTCCTTCTTGCATGGGCCATAGTCATGACCCATATAATATATGGGAAAGCCCGCTGAATAGGGACTTGCGATCACCAGTGTAACTACCAGTTGAAACCAAGATTTTCCAACCTCCAGTACCGCTAGTTTCTTGCAGGCTTTTCACCGGTGTATTAAACTAAAAGAACAACACTGCACGAACTTGTATGTTGACGCCAGGAATGTGTTCCAGCAAATGATCTTTTAACAAATCCATACTATACATCCTGCTTCTATCCCCATGGTTGTTGGTCGGCATCATTCATATCCAAATCATCGTTAAGAAGGATGCAGCATACTCCAAAATAATAGTGGATTTACTGTCAAATTCAAGATTTTCAAGATCCTTCCCATGAATGCCTGGTTGAGAGACATCTATAGAACTATAGAACCCTTCAAACAAATAGAATCAGAACAAAATAGAAAAGTCATGAATTATTCAATAGGACTTGATTTTTCAATCTCTTTTCAGGGTTCCCTTGCCCTTGGATGCCCTTGGGTTTTCCCCAGCCATCCAGCCATGGCCACTCCCGCCACTCGCCTAGGCTTCGGCAAACGGAGTCCATCTTGGCTGCGAGTTCGAAATCGAAGCCCAAGCAACTGAGGCCCACCACCACAATATCGAAGCCCTTGAGGAGCTCCTACCAATTTTGGGGGGTCAAAATGGCTTTAAAATGAATGGGTTGAAATGACTCAAACATGGTGGTTTAAGCAGCAACAATTGTAACAATTGGGGACTTAATATGATTTAATCAAGATCAACTGGATTGAATGACGCACAACAGAGATTCAACCGCCCAAAGTACGAAATTTGACCAAATTTGACCAAGCAAAATGTAGACGTGATTAGCTAAAATGGGATATGAACCACTCACCATATGACATCATATGATTGGAACATGAGGACAAATGGTCTGATCACGGCAATGTAGCGCAGTATGACCTGTATATCCTGACCTGCACGTGCAGTTCCTTATCCCTCACCACTCGTCCGAGGGACCCCAAGTTATCATCCAAGTTCTTGGTCATCATTGGGACACCAAAGGTGAAAAGGGATCGATTTCTGTGGGACATCTCCGAGGATGGTTTATTGTCATGTTATCATTAAATGTATTGTATATATCTACATTTATATATATATATATATTATATATATATATATGTATCGTCATTATGTCAACCAATGGTTAACTGCTGATTTGGGTTGGTGGGTGGGAATCCTTAAAGAAATCCAAACAAAGGGGATTATGACTATAAGGCGTCCCCAATATTGTGAAACACCCAAATCACCACTCAACATTCTATCATCACTGCAATTTCCAACATAAATGATCATAATTGCTTGACATTGTATATCCGCACGATGACTTGCACATTGTTTCATCCCCATTATGTATATCCAATTTTGCCATTCAATCACCATGATACAAGTACCCATTACATCGTATTGTCATGCATTGTCACCATATATCAACGCGCTCCCATGGATCTTCCCGTGAGCCATTAAAAATACCCTTATCCCATGTCATCATAGTAGTGGGTTGATAGGTTTTCCTACTATGGCTTGGTTCATAAACCCCAATAGCCTAGGTAGCACAACTCCCTATAAATCTATAATAACCAATCAACCAGGGTATATTAAGCATTAATCGGCATCACTAAGCATTATTAACATCTATTAACTTAACTATTAACATCTATTAACTTAACTATTAACAGCAAGTAACTTAAATATTAACATCTATTAACTTAACTATTAACATCAATTAACTTAACTATTAACATCTATTAACCACTATTAACATCTATTAACTTAACTATTAACATCTATTAACTTAACTATTAACATCTATTAACTTAACTATTAACATCAATTAATTTAACTACTAATATCTATTAACTTAACTATTAACATCTATTAACCACTATTAACATCTATTAACTTAACTACTAATATCTATTAACTTAACTATTAACATCTATTAACCACTATTAACATCTATTAACTATGATTAACAATTATTGACGATTATTAGGTCCCAGGATGATTTTCATTCTCTCCCGTTGACTTCTTCCATCCGGTGATCCTTGAGCTTGTCATCGCTCGTGGGCCGGTCCGAGCTGAAGGAAACGCTGCCCAACCTCTACCGGAATGGGGGGATGCCATGAGATGTACGGGCTTCTATTGGATATGGACGACATGAGATTATAGTGCTTTTATATAATGTGCATTACGTTAATACATATATATATATATGTGATTTATAAGTATATATATATATGTATGATTTATAAGTATACATATATATATATATTACTTATAAATCATACATATATATATGTATGTATGATTATATATACATAAATATTGGTCACGCTTGGGTACTGTACTATACCCTAACCAATCTAACCATGGAGGATTAAAGTGGTTTTTAGCACCAAAACATGACCAACATCTGTGCTTTTGACACGATCTCAAATTCTGACCCATACCTAAGTGGGGAAATATGAAGCTCAAATTCATGTTGACCCCCAGTTGATTCATATGGGGGTACCATTTACGAGATAAGCGGCTTTAATCTGTTAATTTGGGATTGGCATTGACCTAGACACACTCATAATATAGTCTAAAACCTGCTGGCAGTTTGTGTTTATTGTTGTATTTTTTGTGTATAGTTAACTATAGTTAGACACACATACATGTATATATACATATGTATCTGGGTGTGACACACACACACACTCAGACACATACACATAATTATATATGTGTATATTATATATTTATATATATATATTACATATATATATGTGTGTGTGAACTATTTTTTACGGGTTCACTGCCAAATTTTGGGTCGCCTTAAATGACTCACGGCAGATCCAAGGGAGTGCAGGGCAGCACAAATTGCTCTTCACTGGTCAGTCGCGCAGCCAACGAAAAGAAATTGTATCTTCCCCACCCAAATGGGCAGGCATGGGCAGGCCTACCAATCAGGCCTTTAGACTTGAGGCACAATCAATATTGTAAATGCAACTTTGAACTTTGAACCCAAGGTTCCACTGTCGAAACAACCTTCGGCAAGTAGGAAAGGCTCAAAGGAGCAGTGTTCAAGACCCCTGTCTCGTTTCTCTATACTGGCTGCGAAAAAAAGGATTTCCCATCATGGATTGTGATACTCCCCATGGTGGGTAGTATAATCCCTTATAATCACCTATATGTAATCATCAACTAACAAGGGGGGGTTGAACATTCAATCCCTATTGAATCCCATAAAATCACCCTATAAAATGCAAATAAATCCATCTAAAACCCAACATCTATATTAAATCCCAACTAATGTGGGTAAAACAATAATAAACCATCCCCAAATCACCATAAATAGGTGGTATAATGAACCATTCCCAAATGGGCGCATTGGTAGCCCACCTGAGACGCCAAGTCACGGGTTCATCTCTTGTACCCGTTTGGACGCGCATTCTGCGCGCAACTTCCCAATGTCCTCTGGCCTGAGGAAATAGTTGAATCCTGGCATAGCATGGTAGCCCTGAGGAAGGGCCCCACAACATGAAAGGTGGTCATACCCCCAACAGTTTTTTTTTTAATGTTTTTTTTTCCCACATTTATGCATATTGTTTTGCTTACAACAAGAAAAACGGGTGTGTATATATATATATATTGCCTATGTGTATATACTTGCATTCATGCGCATATATATATACACACATTCGAAGGAATCCACAAGCATTCATCAATTGCTTGGCTGTCAGCTTTTAAGGTTTTCCTTGCCCGTTGGCTGTAGCCAAAAAAACGTGCTGCGAACACATTGGCCGTTGTTATCGTAGAAACGGGCGCAGAAGATTGTACAAGCGTTCATAGAAAATGCAATCTGCATGAAAATAAATACTAAACCTTTGCCAAAATACATACAACACTTGCGATTGAACGCGGCATAAGACCATTGTGTATGGCAGAATCAATCAACATACATAGTAACCCCAAAAGATAGAAATGAACATCCTATAAAAACCCACTAAAGTAATGATGAATTGCTTTTCAATCGATTCATCAATTTGCTTACTATGATTTTACCAACAGCAACTGCCTTGCCACAGCTCACCATCAGTGGCGACTTACCGGTCGGCTCCCGTCCACCAACCTTGACCCATCTGTTGGTTCATAGAGGGTTCCCCCCATTCAACAACCTCAAGGTAGATGATGGTAATGGTAGATTATCATAATCTAAGAAATATACCAAGAGTCAACATACAATGTTTGAAATAAATTGAACAAACACGTTTCATTAACTTCAGCAAGAGTTCGCAGAGTAACATGGTTTTCGTTATATTATATATATCTGTACAGTGTATCTTGGGGGTTCAGAAGCTCCCCTCCTTTCAACCACTTCTGGGAATGTTACCATAAGTGCTGCAGGGGCCAAAGTCCGCAAACGTCACTTTGATAACAATAGATTCACACATAAAACGCAGCAAGTTATTGTTATTGGTTTCCAGCCTCACATTTGGAAGCTGCATCGACAAAATGCGCAGGATAAGCAACAGCAGGCACACATGCAGGCTCAACATGTTGACTAATTCCACGAGCACAACGCAAAATGATGACACATACAGTTCATCATGGTCGCAAACCCGATATATACACATATATGTATATATATAATTATATATGTGTATATCTCTATATATATATATGTGTGTGTGTGTGATCATATATACTGCAATCCATATCGTGGCGAGTATATAGCTGGGATATATAACTGGGTTATAATATGATTTTTATCGGCCACTGATTGTACAACTGGCATGCAACCCCAGAGTGTTTCTGAACGCCGCTCGCCTACATCTGCCGCCGTGACGGTGCGATGGTCTCTCAGCGTCAAAGCAATACCTGCACTGGGGCGATATGGCCATGGCCATCGTTACATCAACTCATGGCCATTTTGAAGCCACCAAAAACAGGGATTTCATCAAAAAATGGATGAAACATGAGTTGATATAGATATATAGATATATAGATATGGTTGGATTTCATCATCCATCATCCATTTTCATCAACAAAATATGGGGATAATGGATGATACTGTGGTAAACCCGACCATTAACCATAAAACATCCCCAAGGACTGACTATAAATGGGTGGGATTCCAACCACCCCTTAAATGGTAGCTGTTTCTGTCAATGGGTTTGATACGTTGACCCGGATACATTCAATTATGTAATACGTTGATCCGAAAAGTTTGGCCATCTGGACATGATTCTGCAAAACCTAACCATCATTCCAGTGACGTCACGACGTGAGGTCGCAACATAATTCATCCAAATTACCCTTTGGTTATTTAACATAGCCATGGAAAATGGTCCATTTATAGATGGTTTAGCTATTAAAAATGGTGATTGTCCATGGCTATGTTAAATAACCAGAGGGTAACCCCGTCTCCCTAGGATAATCCATGATCCATAAATTTTCTGGTTGGAGTCTGAGGACCCAACCAACTCTCATCCCAAAAAACCATCTGGTCATTTAACATAACTATGGAACATCACCATGAGAATAATAGGTAAATCATCGTGTTTATCATCAATGGGCCATGGCTTCCATAGCAAACTGTTAAACAAGCGGAGGGCAAATGGGACTTGTGCAGTGGTTTTATGGTGGTTTAATTTGTTTAAGTGGGTTGATGATGAGTTCATAAGTGGTTTAATGGTTGTTTAATTTGATCTAATGATATCTAATGGGGATGTCATAGTCGTTTCAGGTACAAATTGAAGCCATGTTTGGTGGTTCAATCACCATGGTCCATGGGATCAAGGTTTGGGATCAAAATCACCAACTTAAAAAACCTATTAGCTATACATAAATATCACAAACCAAAAAAAAACACCCATCCAAGGCAATTTGACATGGCTATCATCAACATAATATATAGGCAAATCATCATGTGTATCATCTATGATGGGCCATTTTCCGTAGCAAAGTGCAAAATAACTAGAAGATACCTTTCCCCATCCTCCCCGTCGCCCGATTGCGTGCCGATTTCGCACCTGCCAGGACCAAGTTTTTGCAGGCCTCCACGTTGCTTCCCTCAAGGCCCCAAATCAACACCTGAGCCATGACTTGAGGGTTCTCAAGCCAATAAATGTATAAATATATATATATATATAATTATATATATATATTATAACATTTGTCATTCCCTATGTAGATCTATATGCAGTAACTGATTATATATCAATGATCATAATATAGTCAGAATGTGCAAGAACGGCAATGGTGGCCAAGTTGAAAAAATCCTACAGAAATTGGACTTAGATTTTTCAGGGAGGGATCCCCTGACCAGATTCTAGGGCCCCAAAGACACACCATCATGGAGAGTGAGGTCACCCCAAAATCCAAATGGATGGGCGGAACCATGATACGAGTAACACCTATAAATGATGAATCAATGGGATTTCGTTTTAACCTGGTTGGTTTATAAACCATCTGGATATTGGTTAATTCACTATTTCCTTTGGTTTATTGGTACTATTGGAAACTTCCGCCACCTGAGCGGACGCTAGTTGTAATTCACCAAGCTGACGCAGCACTGACGCAAGGCAATTTTGGGATAGTTACCCCTACTAACAATCATGATTCCAGTGACTCCGCGGCGAGGTCTCAACACAAATTATGCAAAGATATTCCATGATATTCATATGGAGATATTCACCAAGAATCCGATTTCTTGGCGAATAAAACACATCTATTTCGGTCCTCTCAGAGATATCTTCGAAGCTCAACGAGCCATTTTTCGGGCCGTTGCTGCGCCCCGGACCTTCGCATTCAAAAGGCGTTGCTGCGCCTGAACCCCCCAGAGGCGCAGCTGGCCTCAGCGGTGGGAGATGGTCATAATTTACCCTCTGGTTATGTCAAAATAGCTATTGAACATGGCCATAGAAATAGCTGATTTTCCCATGAAAAATTGTGATTTTCCATAGTTATGTTAGTTTACCAATAATTTTTAGGGGATGGTCATCAACCCAGAACAGAAGGGATGTGAATATACCCACAATGTTTGAATTGCTGTTATGGGATGGATGATACATGGGATACTTTTGGGGATATCCGGAGAATCTTCGAAATCTGGCGAATATGTTGACAGATCTGCTGACGGCTGAGTTTCAAAGTGTTCAGGCGCCGTAGTTCTAGCTCTTTTGACAACTGGCCAATTGAGCTCTCCATGTCGTGGTACTTTGAAGCATTCTCCCTTCCAAACAGCAAACCCAACCCCAACTATAACTGCCAACCCAAAATATCAAGATTCTATTGCAGGTTCTCCTGCTAGGGCTAGGGCTAGATATCACTCATCCATTGTGAGTCACTCCAAACAGTTCTGTCAATGAGCCGGTGGTTACAATCCCAAGCTGGAGCATAACCTAACCCCTATAATTAGTTGTGTTAGTTGAAGCGAACCTCTAGAGGAAACCATAGGTTTACGTGCCGCACAAAGATCACGGGTTTCCTGCAGGTTTTCCCTTCAAAAAATTGGTTGTGGGCTCTTTAATTCCCTCCTTTGAAAGGATATGTGCCATCCAAAACATCCAAAATCCATCCAAAATAGATATGGGAAAGCCAAGATTTTCATCCACCACATGCAGATCATTCTGCGGAAATCCTTGCTTTTTGTCCCATCAATCTTCGTTAATTTACTGGTAATTAGCTATTGAAAATGGTGATTTTCCATATAGTTATGTAAACGTTTACCAGAGGGTAAACCTCCATGTCTCTACGGGTTTCCCCATGGTTTTCCTATGGATTTTCGACGTGAAAAATAACTGCTGTGGCCCCCAGGCGGTCATAGACAGCCACCTGATCCCCAGTGATGGCTGACATGGCCTACGCCGATGCCGATGCGGCAGGAAAATGCGGCAGATTTTTCTATGGGAAAAATGAAATGAAAACCATCTCTGGTTGAATAAACTGGGGGACTATAACTGATTGGTGGTTTCAAACCCCCTGAAAAATATTAGTCAGTTGGGATGATTATTCCTAGTATATGGAAAAATAATTACTTTACTTCGTGTGATCCCCACCATGACATTTATACATTTTCTTACTGGCAAATCTTCTGGCATTCTATCTGACATATCTTCTGGCATTCTATCTGGCATATCTTCTGGCATATGATCTTCTGGCATATCTATCTGGCATATCTTCTGGCTTCTGGCATTCTATCTGGCAAATCTTCTGGCATTCTATCTGGCATATCTTCTGGCACTCTATCTGACATTTTATCTCATTATCTGGCATTCTATCTGGCATATCTTCTGGCATATATTCTGACATATCTTCTGGCATTCTATCTGGCATTCTATTTGGCATTCTATCTGGCATATCTTCTGGCATATCTTCTGACATTCTTTCTGACATTCGTTCTAACTTTCTTCTGCACATTCTTTGTCCCATATCTTCCTACATGAGGTCCGGCAGGGAACACTTGGCGTGGATACTGGCGGTTGAGGTCCGGCAGGGAACACTGGGCGTGGATGGTCGTGGTTGAGGTCCGGCAGGGAACACTGGGCGGGGATGGTCGTGGTTGAGGTCCGGCAGGGAACACTGGGCGTGGATGGTCGTGGTTGAGGTCCGGCAGGGAACACTGGGCGTGGATGGTCGTGGTTGAGGTCCGACAGAGAACACTGTGGATCGCGAGTCGCAGTTGAGCAGGAGGACGAGGAGGACAACGAGAGGAGGAGGAGGAGGAGCAGGAGGAGCAGGAGGAGGAGGAGGCAACTGACATAAAATCTAACAACCCTCACCTGGCAGGTGGGGAAAAAATGTTCCAAACCGCCAACCAGATAAACTATGAAGAATGGGTTGTTTTTCCAATGTAGGCATATGATCCATGTCGATCCCCAAAAAATAGGAATGGGCAAATTCCAATTCTAACTGGTTAATTAGGTGGTAAATTAGCCAATGATAATCACTAATATTGCTAGTATACTGTCTACTAGCAATATTAGTGATTATATAGGCTAATTTACCACGTAAATATACTAGTATATACTGGTAGTATTCCAACTAAAAATTGCTGGTAAATTATTTTGTCCTACTGGGATGCTCCCAGGATCTCACGGGATTCAATGAGTTGTTTTTTTTGTCTGGGACTTAGTCGATTTAATGGAAGGGAATCGATTTGATTTGATACATTACAGTCATTACATGTGTACTGTAGTACTAAATAGTGGTTTGCCAGACTTTTCCACTATTTAGTACAGCAACCAAAAACTCTTTTGCACTTTCCCACTAGTTTTTGATTTGCAGCCTCTAAATAGTGGTAACTGATTTTAAAAAATGTCTGTTTTGAGGGTGTCAAAAACTGGGCCCAGTTGAACCATCCCGATCTGGGAAAAAACTGGATCAGCGCCTCCAATGGGATCAGCGGCCCCGAAAGGGGTTGGCTTGAGCAAAACTGCCAGGAGTGGAGGGAACCGCTGGGATTGAACCCATGGTGTGTCAAAAAAATGTTGCTAACGCATGGTAAAGCAATTTAATAAACCCGCCGTTTTATATAAAATTGAGGATGGTATCCCATTACTTTACTGTATATTGCTTTACTCATATTAAATTATTTTCTAATTGGACACCCTAAATCACAATTCATGGTACAATGGTTGACTGCTTATATACCGATAATTCAACCAGCTTGTTCTTTGGGAATGATATTTGGTATAAATTGGTTTGGTCTTGGGGAAATTCCCTCTTGGTATATCAAATTTGGTGAATGCAACTGCCATTCCTATTGGCTAAATCAATTCTTGTTGCTCAAAACCAATTGTTTGCAGGTTAATGTCCTGTTCTTGCAGACTGAGTTCAATGCTTTAGAGATGATATCAATCTTCGTTAGCTCACAAGTTGTTATTCTCATTAGTTTTACCCGAATGTCCATGATTTGTTGCTATCACATGTGTTTTTTCAAGATATGTATTCCATCATTCGAGTGACGTCACGACGTGAGGTCGCAACATCATCTATCCCAATATGTTTCCATTATATCCCATTCATATCCCAGTATACTACCAATTTAGTTGGTTAAATCCCCATTTTTGCTGGTGTTATCCAGATATTCCCACTATATTCCCACTGAAAGAAATATCCATTAACATCCCACTACATATACCAGCAATTTTGTTGGCTGAATTTTCTGTTGGTTCAAGAAATATTGCCCCTACTATGATTTTTCCCCAAATAAATCTCCCAATCTTTGCAACACCCCGCAAGGTGAGGCCCACCAGTTATAAGTTGGCAATAGAGAATGTTCTCCTATGAATTGGGCATATGATGACTATGTTAGCTATGTTCCTCTATGTTCCATATCAACATCCCATACACCACCAGTTATAAACCATTATTTTACCATTATTCATCATCACCAACAAGTTTTCACCATCATTAACCATGATTAAACCATGGTTTACACCATGATTATATAATCATTGATATTCATTAATTATCATTAATCATACCATCCTTAACCGTTATTATAGATTATAAACCAATATTTTATAGTTATTAACCATTATTAACGATTATAGATTATAAATCATTATTATAGATTAACTATAATCGTTAATAACTATAATCGTTAATACTGGTTTATAACTCATCAACTCATTAATGATAGATTATTATAGATGATTACCATCATCAACTCATCATTACCCACTCTTTGCTGCTTCAAACGTCCCGAGGCTCCCCACCGACACCGGTGCCTTCTGGGCGGGAAGCTCCGACTGGGCGGCGGCAGCGCCACGGGAAATCGGGGATTTCACCCGCCAAAAATGGTGGATTTCCTGGGATTTCACCAGCCAACCATGGTGAGGTATGGTGAGTTAATTGGATTTGACCAGCAAAAATGGTGATTTTATGGGATTTCAATGGATTTCATGGAGATGTGATAGGGGGGTTCATCAAATTTGATGGGATCTGAGATTTGAATGGGATTTAATGGGATGTGAATGGGATTTAAAGAGAGGTTTACTGGGGATTTAATGGAATTTCATCACCATTAATTCGGATTTAATTGAGATTTTAGTGGGTAATGAAGGCATGGGAGGATCTAATTAGATTTGTGTGGTGTTTGAATGAAACCATGTTGTTTACCCGCAAATACAGGCGGTTCAACTGTACATTTTCCTTGTGGCCACTTGTGGGAATTGAATGATTCAATGATAGAGTGTTTTGTTTGAGAAACGAAGCGTCATTTTCTTCATGATCAAACTTAGATGAGGCCCTTCCAACAACCACACGCTACCGCCAAATATCGCTGGGTGACTAGCTAGTCACCTTCCTCTGGAGATCCAGAAGGCCAGTAAAATCAGTGTAGCAACCATCAATATGATAGAAACGTCATTTGTGGACATTTTAATATTTTAGTAGGATTTCACTGTTCTATCGTGGAAGTGGTTCTACATGGGCGAGAATGAGGCCTCAAAGCGTGAAGAATCGGCCCTGTAGAAATGAGAAGAAACAAACACCATCCAAGAAACCTTGTCTAATCGTCAATCTCTCTTCATGAAGTCTGTTTACGGAGTCTCAAACTGGCTCTACTTTCAATTTGTTTTTTTGTTAAATTCTCGCTTGGCACATGTTCACTGCACATCAAAGAATTCGTCAAATGCCCAGGGTTAACAATTCAAATGACATACCAGTTAGTTCCAAGATTATATTATATATAATCAAATGGTTTACAAACCCATCTTATTGTAATACAGTATATATATATAATTATAATCACAATGAACCAGAGATAACCTCGTTACAAACGAACTTAGCTAACGAACTGATGCACCACCTTGCAAAAAGTTTCACCAACCATTTACCCACCATTTATCAATCATTTACCAACAATTTTTAGTTTCACCAAGCATTTTGCCAGTCATTTACCAATCATTGATTCGTTCACCACCTGGCACCGTGCCTCGACTTCCCGGACGGCTCGACCTTGGCAGGAATCACAGTCACTAGTTCCTGACCTCAATAGTGTCAATACCCTCTGGTTATGTCAAAATAGCTATTGAAAATGACCATAGAAATAGTGGATTTTCCCATTAAAAATGATGATTTTCCAGAGGGTAATCTCAAATAGCCGCATCTCTCTTGGTTTAGTGCGGGATCGAATTATATCTAATTATTCCATCCCAACTCACTCTCTCTCTCCATTTCAACCGGCTCTGATCTCCAGCAAAACAATGACACTTGAGGCAAAACAGGAAATACATTCTCCATCATCCAGCTATATGTTACAAGAACACAACTTGCAAACCTACAGCTCACCACTTGCTTATCCCTCCTCTGTGGATATCAATTTAGTCGCCTATCATTCATTCTTCTGCATCTGGACATACATTCAGTGGGTTAACATTCGGTTAACATCACCAATCTTGTCGCTCATTTCATTGCTTCAAGTTCAATTTTGGGTGTGTTCCAGCAACATCCCGAAAACCACAATCATCGTTTTTGTTGAAGGACCCTTTTAAATAGCAAAACCGCTTGGCCGTAGACCCTGCCCTTCTCAAAGGTGTCTCGCCTTTTTGATTTTGGCAAAACCGCTCGGTGATGATCTTCCAAGAAATCTGCTTGGTGCTTAGGCCAGCTAGGCCCCTATGCTGCATTTCCTATGCTCTCAAAACGTTGAAATTTCCCGGGATAGTTATCCATGATTTAAGGATGGAACAAAAATGGAGCACAAATGAGAGTGAAAGTAATTACCAAGCAGTGGGACATGGCCCAACCTGCAATTTGAAGCCTGCTACTTGACCATCCCACTGTGTGAGTGGTTTATAGCCCTACTTACATAGTAACTCTCCCAATTGCTTTGGGCAACCCCCTTATCACCGTATCACAATCACAATGATTACCCACCTAGTTCCCGGAATGTTCAGGCACTCTTCGTCCAGTCTTGCGGTCGCCCCATTAGTAGATACACATCTATGACCATGTATGCACATCCATTTTGGCAACGGGTCGAAATGATTGGCACCCCAAAACGGATGGTTTGGTCATGTGTGGTCAATTAAACAAGAGAAACATGATGAAACATGAATCAGTTTCCCTATGGTCCCAGTATGTCCCAGTCTCCTTTCTTGGTAACATTTTGGTCATTCAGAGACTATTGGGCGTCCGTATGTTTGACCCACACCACTTTGGGTGCGGGATCTGCCCGCTGGCCCGCTCAGGAACTGCGTATTTTTCGGCTCCTGTGGCGAGGGGATGATGCGCCACCCGAGGTATAACTGCGGTATATCCCCAAAATCGCTGAATTGGGATATGGATCCTCACTAACTGGAGGTGTTGATGGGAAAATCATCTATAAATGGATGATTGCCATTGCCATGTTTGATTACCAATAATTACATCTTATTATTGCAATATACTACACTGCATTTCAGTACCACCAAAGCATAGCACAAGCGCCAAAGAAGCTGGTGATGTTCGGGTCATTGCTTATATATAAAGGGATTTTCTACTCAATGTCAACTACAACACGTAATGGCCACTGCCTCCATTTTGTACGGTACCCAGTATGGGCTACCAACCATGGACCCAACTGTTTCTAAAATGAAGCACCTTGACCAGGACGCGCCAATGGATGTTAAACTGTAGCAGAACAACTCTACCAAACGTAGCTCCAATATGTACCTTGCTACCTTGGGAAAGCCACACTGCCTTATATAGCAAACATGGTCTTATTCGGAGAAAGCATACATTATCTACTTAACTGGGTGGCTACTTAGTATACCTTCTCCAAAGGATGTTTGGGCCCCTATGACACCCTTTTTTTCCCTAGCACTGCACGATATAAACAAGTGAGCAAGCATCCGAGGTGGAAGCCTGGGCTCCCAGCCTGTAATCTGCTCCATGGCTGACCATGGAAGTCCAGCCACATGACGTTGAACGCTGACATATCGAATGTGAATTGGAAACACCACGCATAAGCGCGGGATATGCAACTGCCACTTGAAACAACGTACCGAGCGCGATACATCGATACGAACTGTCCGTGGATCCGGATGGACAACGACAGAATTTGATGAAACTTGCGGGCAGGTTGTTGCTTGCCTTTCTGTGGACGGCCGTCATCATTGCTGTAGGACTGTAGGGCCTGTAGGGCTCAACCCACACAGTATGAATATCAACACACACAAAACTTTGCTCGACACAACTCCTCTCAAGGCATTTCCCAATCAACTTGCAAGGTGGCCGGGTAGATAGTTGGCAAATGGTCAACCATCCAACGATGCATCCACGATAGACCTTACCAAAACTTAGTGAAGCATCGAGAGATATCGAGTCATAGGGGCACATGGATCCCTTAACAGATTGTACAACCACACAAAACTCACCAAAGGTGCCCCCCCGTAGTAGATTGTTAATGGTTGCCCTTCTTAGTGTTTGTGGCATGGTTGACAAACCCGTGAAGATAAGCCATTATTATGGATTGTGATTATGATGAATTGTAATTATAACTATTATCACTATCATTACTATGTCTTATTATTACTGTCTTATTACTGTGTTCATTTATTATTCTTGTTATTGTGATTCCTGCTAACACTCATTATTAATGTTCTTATTCTTATAGGTTTTATATTTTAGGGGGCGTCAGGCAGGACATCACAAGATGTCTCAGGACCCACAGAAGTTGGAAAGATGCAATGACTCAGACGTACTGCCCTAGCAGCACAGGGGTGAACACCACCCTAGTAACTGCCAAGCGCGCCGCGCCGTCTTCAAAAGCAGAATTTGACATGGCAATGCAATCTGCGAAGAGTAGTGAAGTGCATGATTTGTATTCAAAAAACAAACATGGACCTCAACCTGTTGATACCTGCTGAGTCTCCTTGAAAACTGCTGTCCTTCACATTGTTCCATATCTTTTCTCAAGTGCCGGCCGACGAGGCCCAATGGCAATGACTGCGGCAACGACTTGGTCCTTCAGCGCGCTTGGCTCAACCGATCCTTTAAATAAAATATTGCTCGCCAGGGCAACCTCAAAATCTGTGCGTCCAGAGCTGCCTAATGGCTCCTGAGGCGGCACGATCCCCTGGAGTTTAGAGACATTTGGGATTTGGTGTGTCTCAAGATGGGGGATGCCAATGACGAACCAGCTGCAACCAGTTTTGGATACTCTGGTTTCAAACAAACCCATTGACATGTCCCAAAAGTTCTTTCATGTTCTTTCATGTGCACCGATCAGCCAAATCCAAAACGAACCTGAGAAAAACACGTCTATGGTAAAACATAAGGTTTACTGCAGCAACAAAGGCATTTTCAGAGTCCCAGCCGCTTAATTAAGTCATGTCTTTAGGTCCAGCAGGATCCCAAACGACAGCTAAGGTCCCCTACCTTCAGCTTGCTGTGCTTTGCCGTCTTTTCCCTGGTTGCGGATGATTTTCAGTTTCGATTGAAGTTCAGAAGCATTCACGCTGGCAGTAAATACTGAGTAAATGGATGTACCATCTGGTTATTTAACATAGCCATGGAAAATCACCATTTTTAATAGGTAAAGGCTAGTGGGCCGAAACCAACTTCAGTTTGTCTGCTTGTTTTGAAAAGTTGCGCTTGCCCATGCCAAGGAAAGGACCTTGACCAAGAAGACTTCTCAAACGCTCAGTAAGATCTGATCATCCACAGAAACAAGCGGCGTCATCAGACCTCTGTCCTATCCTTCAGAAGCGCAAAGGGCGCATGTTCTCCCTTTTCAAGATTACTGAAGCATCCCTGGTTGTCCCTTTCAACACGAGGATTTCTCTTGCCGGGGTATATTACCACAGACTCTAACTGGGTCATACTGGGTCTATGACTCTATTTCACTGGCAGAAAGGGGACCTGTTGCAACTTCATCTGGTAAAACTTCATGATGGTCAACTCTGGTTACCCTGGGGTGAACTAACACCGATATGGAAAAGAACAATGGTTGCCCCGATCAGAAATGGTCTATATACTCGACAATAGATCGCAATATTCAACTTCTGATGATTAAACCATAAGGTCTCACTGACTACCCTTTTGTGATGTCTAATTGTGTAGTTCACCATGTTTTTGTGGTTGCCCTCCAGAAAAGTAACATAGACATGGAACATTCACAACTTATGGATACTTTCCGATCGAGGAACATGGTATCAATATAAAAAAATAACCTCTCTGATTGTACGAGTATAATATACAATTCTTCATTACTTGAAGGTGAGCCAACGATTAAATCCACATGACTATATATATATATAAATATATATGTAAACTCAGACTATAAACCCACATGATTTGTTAGTTTGCCATGGTTATTTTCCGTCGTTTGTGTCCATCCATAGGCCCAGTTGCCTGCCATTTTGGCAGGGCAAACTTTTACCCATAGGCGCCTCAGGTCGAGGCGCCCCCCCCGACAGTTGCACGAGTTGGATTGATTGTTGGACGGCAATTTCATTACTTATAGTTTATATCCATCTATCTAATCAAATCAAATCTAATCTAACATATCTACCTATCGATCTATCTACCTACCTACCTACCTACCTATCTAATATATCTAATATATCTAATATATCTAATATATCTAATTATCTATCTATCTATCTATCTATCTATCCATCCATCCATCTATCTATCTATCTGCCTGTGTATATATCTATCTATACCTAAATCTATATCTAAATCTAAATCTATATCTATATCTATATCTATCTATCTATATATCTATCTATCTATCTATCTACCTATCTATCTATCTATCTATCTATATCTATCTATATCTACCTATATCTATCTATATCTATCTATATCTATCTATATCTATCTATATCTATCTATATCTATCTATATCTATCTATATCTATCTATATCTATCTATCTATCTGTCTATCTATATCTATCTATATCTATCTATATCTATATCTATCTATATCTATCTAAATCTAATCTATCTATATCTATATCTATCTAAATCTATATATATATATCTATCTATATCTATCTTTATCTATCTATATCTATCTATATCTATCTATATCTATCTATATCTATATCTATCTAAATCTATATATATATATCTATCTATATCTATCTATTTATCTAAATGATCTATACTTCTGTCTGTTTATATCTCTATATATATATGTAGTTATCTGTATATATATATGTGTGTGTGTTTATTTGCAGATATATATATATATATGTATGTATGTATTTGCATATACATACATGTTAATTCCATTTATCTCCAACAAAGGTGGAAGTTAAATACTTTGGCATGTTTCAATTCGTTTTATTTGTTCTAGTATATATAATTATATGTAACTATTGTGATTTTTGCAATGGCTTACTGGAATAAACTGCGAGAAAACAAGGGCCCGGCCCAAACCCAAGCCGTACCAGCTAGAGATCTAAACGGAGAGCAAAACGACATGTTCATTCATTCCAGAGTTGTTGAAAGCACTTCCTCAATTGATTTCACTTCATGCACCCCCCAAATACATTTATGTGCTTCTGCATGTGCCAGTTACAACCCATGCCCCGCATTCAGACACACAAAACCAACACCATCTCTCTTCCCAAAACTGAAACCCAAATAAACGAAATTGACACCCCCAAAAAAAGGAACCCTAAAAAAATGCTATTTGTGTTCACTCAACTGCAAGCCCACCAACCCCATTCACCACGCCTCAGGGGTTTCTTCACGCATCTTTCTCGGCCGCCTCCTTCTCCTTGGAGTTGCAAATTTCTATGACAAATAGTCAGGTGGTAGATTAGACCCTGTTATAAGGGGGTATTCCGTTCCTGTTTGTATAGTACTTGTTCATAGATTCCGCCTTAGGGAAATAAGCTATATAATTCGATATATTTAACAATCACCAACGAAGCAAGCCCGATGATGATGGAAAGGCTTGAAACCACAGCCAAGGGATTGGACGTGTTATGATTGTTTGAAAACCTTTTTGTATCTTTTTGTGGATGATTCCCCGAATCCTACCCCGCGCTGATATGAATAAAAACAACATGTATAGCGGTTCCTATGTTTCACCCCTGAGTTTTCAATAGCTTTGTGTTGATTTACTGGGGCCTAGCCATAATCACAACAAATCACAGCAGTAATTAACATCCAGAAAATGGATTGATGCAGGTAAAATTGATTCAAATCCATCGCGATTTTTATAGTCCATATAATCTGGTTCTATTAATTTCCTAGAGGCTACTCTCCAACTATGATGGCTACTGTAGTCTGTAACTTGAGATGGTCAGTCCATCATGTCCCATCCTTAAATAGCAGTCGAATTAGCTGGTAACCCCCCCCACAAAACGATAGAACCAGGATAAAACAAGTTAACTGACACTTTTTCACGATTATCAACAAAACATCAATAAAAGACGTTTCCCAAAAAGTACACCCTAAAACCCGGTGGATTGCAATGGTATATGTAAAATGTGTCCCTTTTATGGCTGGTTACTTGGAGCAGTTCCAATTATGAGTGGATATAAAACAACAGCCATAGAAAAAATATTCCAACTTGTGGGATTGATAAAATCATATAAGATCTAGAACAATAGTTATAGTTAACCATGATGATATCCATTTCAAACCCCAACTGCGCCCCAAGTATAGATAGTTGCTGGTTTATCAGACTATATCCCAGTCATATAGTATTGGAAATCTATATTACCATTGAATCCCTTTAAATCACCATGTAAATTGTAAATGGTTTAAGTCACATTCCATTAAATCCCTATTTGTTAATGGTTAACTTTCATTTTTCATGGTTCAAGTCCAATAAAATCCCATTAGATCTCATTAAAATCACATTTGTTCATGGTTAGAAGTTAGAATCATAGAATCTCAGAATCCCACTTAACAGCATTGACTTCCATTCAAGCCCATTAAACCCTACTAAATCCTCTAGAATCCCATTAAAAACCCATAAAATCCCATTAAAGTCCATGAAATCACCCTGAAAAACCCATGAATTTCATCACCCTCAAATTACCGTCCGCCAGGTCACAGCTGCCTCCTTGGCCTTCTCTGCCCGTGCCGCCGCCTCCTTGGCGGACGCCTCCTTGGACTGCGCCTCCTTGGCCGCTTTCTTGGCGGCCGCGTCCTTACCTGGGCGCGAATCGCTTCACGGTGGCAACATTGCTCCGGTCGGGGGAAAAACCATGGTGTTTGAAGCACCAAGAATGGTGGGAAACCATGGGAAATCAAGGCGAAATGATGGACATATGAGAAATTGGTGCTATAGATGGGAAGATTATGGGGATGTAATCAACAATAACTATCGGGCATGACATAATGGGAAGTATTGGGAATAACTTAATTGCAATGCTATAGATGGGAATTATTTATGGGGATGGAATCAACATAACTATGGTAGGTATAGCCTCTGGTAGTCTAACACTTTGCCATGGAAAATGGCAATGAAGAGCTAAAAATGGAATTTCACCAGCAAAATTCATGGAATTGGGATTTTACCGATGATGATTTAAGCAGCGAAAATTTGGATTTATGATAACTACCAGTTTTCCATGGAACCATTGCTATATTCCATGGACATTCTAGATTACGACATGATACAGTAGAACAAACAAACAATGGACTGGGAACATCCATGAAAATCATGGAAAAACTTGATCTCAAAAAATAGAAAAGGTGATGCCACCAAACATCTTTACCAAAAAGGCGATGTTTCTCAACTAAATGGCTTATAGCACCCATTAAACTCAAATATTGCTATATCGGTGACATATATGTTTTCTTAGACTAGCATCGGCTCCCTCAAATTCATCGCAGCGTAGCAGTTAAACACCCAAGTGACTAAATATCAGTCACCGCCAAATAAATTGGTTATATCCCCAAACATGTCATTTTGCACCCGTCAAAGCACCACTGAATCAAGAGTTGCATGGGTGTCCCTCTTAAAGTGGGCTCTTCTCAGGGCTATTGCGACCGTTGGGGATGGTAACCCCCAATTTTGTCAAACTATGAAACACCCAAATGGCTAAATACTATTCACGTAACTACCAAATGCAACCACATATCATGGGGTTATGACTATATTCTCCAACAATTTCTATATACCCCCATCCAAGACCCCGAAACCGGATCAAAGGTATCCCCACTATATCCCATTGTTAGCCTATTCTTATCCCATTTTTTTTATTCTCCCTATAAAACCATCTCAAAGCATTCAACCTCCATTTTTTGCTGATGAAATCCCCTGAAAATCCCTGGCCATCGGATCAAGTCGCTGGTGGCCGCCTTGGTGGCCTCCTTGGCCGCCGCCTCCTTGCTGGCCGCCTCCTTGGCCGCTGCCTTGGCGGCCGCTTCCTTCTCGGCCGCTTGCTTCGTGGCCTCCTTGGCCGCGGCTTCCTTGGTAGTGGCATCCTTGGCGGCCTCCTGGCGTGGGAGGAAATCTATGGGAAGTGTGATGGAAAATGGAAAAAATGCTCTCTCCAGTTTATGGGGGGGGTCTTGGCCGTGTGAAAGAAGCCTGAAGGCCTGATATGGGATGAGAGAGTCAGACATGGAAAGGTCTATGACAACTGGAGGCAGCGGTTGAGACAAGGAAAACGACCATTGAAACCGCCGAAGAATTCTATAGGCCCTTTATCAATCAATACCTATCACGATCAGAGATTATTTGGTGACTGATGTTATCATCTTGTATGGGAGAATTCTGAGCCAACAAAAACGGAGAGCTGACCAACAAGTCATGGCTTTAACCACGAAAAAAACATGCTATCACTGATCACCTTCCAAACAACGGGATCCAGTTCCAAAGCCTTCAACTCCCCCACCTCTCTCCATCGACGCCATCTCACATTTTTCGATATTCCTGTTTTCTCGGTAGTATATAGTTGTCATGTCTGTTAACAACTAAGTGCGGAAAAAAACAATCTCAAAGTTCCAAACCCTTCAACCCTTCAACCATAAGTGTGGTTGCTCTGAGTTGTAAGATGGCTTGTTTTCACCCATCCAGCTATGGATGTAATTGTGCAGCATGAACCATAGAGCACCTAATCATAAATAGTTCCTGCCAATTCCTCCCCCCAAATATCACACGCCCGCCAATCGAAACCCCGGTTTAATGTAGGATCTGTTCGTTTTGTGGGGCCCAGAGTTCATTTGACATTAGGGAATGGACTTGTACAGTACCAGTTCTCAATGGGTAAATGCCCATCAAATCCATATTTGCATTGATAAATGCCCAACAAAATCATGGCCAATACCGCAAAAAAAAAAACATGTTGTTGATTCTCAACGGCACATTGTCCTAATATATTTCTGGAAATTTGCATGGCTTCCATAACTACCCCCACCCCATCCATCTCCCCATATTTGCACCTTGGCCGCGGCCTCCAACTTGGTCGCCTCCTTGGCGGCCGCCTCGGCCGCCGCCTGCTTGTTGCTGGCTTCCTCTTGGGCCTCCTTGGCTATGGTGGCCTTATCCTTGCCCGCCATCTTGCGCGTGCTCATGGCCTGGTGGGAACCGCTGCTGGGGGGAAGAGACCAGTGAAAAATGGAGAAATCTCCCGTCAAACATATCACTCTTATGTTCGAGGCCTGATTGAAAATCAGGATCCACGAGGAGCCTTTATAGCTGGAATATCTTGGGGTGCTATGATACACACACATATATATATATATACACATATTATAATTATATAATCCAGTTCCAAGAACATTTTACACCATCAACAACACTATCGAGTTTTGAATGAAGCCTGCTGGGAAGCTGACAGAGCGGATTTCATACAGTGCTCATCCTACTGAATCTTTCATGCAATGTTGATAGGTATTTCTCTGGAAGGTGATGTACTTCTGTATGGGTATACTCTAGCGACAGTCTCTGGCTTCATTTACATTGCCAACCTCAAATGACCAGTTATCGTAAAGCTAAGTGTTGCATTTCCATATAATATATGTTACCTAAGTCCAGTATATAGCACAAAACAGATTCAGCTACCCAATCAAGGCCTACCCGATTTTACAAGTTTTTACATCGGCCCTAGTGGATATGGTTAAGCTAGGTATTGAATCTCCGTGATTATCTCTAATACACCCCCCCCAAAAAAAAAAAACTGCAAAACAAATTCAATATTCAGCTACTAGTACCAACCAAGAGTTTCCATTGAGTTTCCATGCGTCGCCTGCTCATCCACCTCTCGTCGGGCTGGCTCGACACCCCAAATCACCTGCATAAAAAGGAGATGGAACTCGAAAACAAGGGCTGCTTCAAAAGAATTGGAAGCCCTATTGCTGCGAAAGGTTCCTTTTTTATTGAAAGTGCAATGGCAAGCCAGTGTTTTCCTGTGAAAAGCACAAAAAGCGGTGTGGTCGAAAATGAATTGATGCGCGACCGTCTGATCCCAGTCCCACCCCCTAATCCCAACCAACATTGTTATTTTTGCAGGAAAACTGACGTGCCGTGCAGCGTGTGGAATTTGGCGCAAGAACCACCAAAACATATTTTGATTGGTTGGTTGAAGGGTCCAAATGTCGAGCTTTGTTTTTTTACTAGCATCAACTTTGCAGTTTGTTGGCTAAGGATCTTGAACTACCATTGCCCATGTCATACATCTACAGCAATTAAATCCAGTTACGGCACATCTATGTGCAGTTTGGGGGTGAGTCTAGTTAAAGTAAACATCAGATACACAAATGATCTGTGGGGATTTGCAGTTATGACCGTTTACCAATTCTAAATGGTTATAATCTACTATAACTATTTCAATGGGATTATACATTATACAAGATGTTGTAAGCATTTGTAACTGGTGAAGGGCACATGGTTCTATCGGCTACGCGAAGATTCGCAAGTTCCAGAGAGTGGCTTTGGCATACTCTCTGATGGTGCGGTCAGTCGAAAACTGCCTCACAAAGCGTCGGAATCGCAACTGACCGCTTGAAGGACCAACCTAAACATGGTACTATATTACATAACTAAGGTGATGATTCAAGTCATGGTGCCATAAAATAATGATATAGCGCCATATTACGGTTATGAAAATTATGAAGTTCATAGTGCCCACTGGTTGGTTGAATATATAACCCATAAAATTGTATATGTATAGAGTGATTTAAGTTATTTCATCAACATAAAACCTGTTTAATCTAGATCTTAACCAACTTACCAAGCTATGGGGCACTACCTCGCGTCTGGGGCTATCAACCAGCCCTGATCAGCATATCTTGCTAAACATGGCTGTATGACATCCTATCCCAGAATCTTGGCAGCTCTGTATCACCCTAAACTCATCCCATTCCGGAAACTTATTCAACATAGTACACATTGTTACGGAAAAACCTGACATTCTGGTGTACACCACTTACCCCTGTTCGTGGTGTATCCCCTCTGTGACATGGCCACTGTGTAAGCCTCAACCTCTTGAAACTGAATGGCCTTCACAAGATACTGTATCACATCCAAAGCAATGATCATGCAAAACATATTCGAAAATCCAATGATGTAAAGCAGTAATAAAACACCCATATTTTGATGGTTTATAATTCAAGTTTATACCCATAAAAATGGTGTTTTTGTTGGTCTATTGCTTTTACCCTCTGGTAATTTAACGTAGCTATTGAAAATTGCCATAGAAATAGTGGATTTACCCATTAAAAAATAGTGATTTTCCATAGCTATGTAAACGTTTACCAGAGGGTATCATGGAACATAACCACCAAGTGGTTTTTTTTAGGTTACTTCTTTGGTTTTTTTTCACCATGGCACCATACCCTCTGGTTATGACTAACATAGCCATGGTATAGATGGCCCATAGAAATAGATGGTTTACCTATTAATAGCATGGAAAATTGCCATAGAAATAATGGATTTACCATGATTTACCCATTAAAAATTGTGATTTTCCAGTTCGCAAACTGTTAGTTTACCATTGCTTTTAACCACATGATCAAAATGATCGCCGAGCGGCGCCATGGAGGCAGCGGCTTGGATGCTCAGCTTGCACCACTGCGCGCGGTTTTTGTAGGTGGAATCCACGGTGGCCTCGCGCCATGGGATGCAGCGAAGATGGAAATCATACGGCAATGATTGGAGCTATACTATGCCAATATGGCAACAATATTTATGGACATATTTATATAGAACATGCATCTATATAGTATAATATATATATAATGTATAATATAAAACATTGGATCTATAATATAAAATATAAATATGATTGGCATTGGATTGGATCTAGATTATATTTATATAGAACACATTCTAAAACAAGAAATAACATGATGATATGCAATGGGATGATTCCCATCCAGTAAAAAACACAACTTTGCGAACTGGAAGCCATGGCTCATTGAACACCCTAGGTACAATTTAAGAGGCAAAACCTAGCCAATTTTACCTATAGTTTTGATGGCTATCATTTATATATCTCGAATGGGCTGGGTATAGCTGGTTGCTGTAATATTATATAATATTATTCATTTCCCATGTTGGGTCCAAATTATGTTTCTAAGGTATTCTATGAGTGATTCAGTGACATGGTTGTAGGAGTGCATTGACGTGGGCGCCACGATGATTGTCAGGTAGTCCATCAATTTCCTCCATGGACATTCGGGAAGCCTGAGCATCAACGAACGAAGGGAAATCGTGAATCACCAAATACCTGAGCTGTGCGAACGGACCCGAAAAAATCAAGAAACAACCACCAGCACTGATTCCTACCATGATCCAACTTCTCTGAGAGGGCACACATTTGCATACATTCTGTTGCTGCAAAATAACCACGCGAAATACCTAAGGGATGTCAAAGTCACGATCAAATTGTGGAATCAGACTTCCCATATATGCGCACTGCACAGAGTATTTAGCATCACCCCGAAACATGCCCCGCCAGTCGGTAAATATTTCATACCAGGAGCAAATAGGATGTCTACATGTAAGTGTAAATGGAGAATTTGATTGATTAATGCATTGGTAAATGCCACCTACCAGACAATTGAACATAGTTATTGGCTATGGAACATGTCCATTTATGAATGATTTACCTATACTGGTTGGTAGTATCAACCCCTCTGATTATTATTCCTATATGGACAAATAATCCAAATGTTCCAAACCACCAACCAGTATAATATTTACCCATCAATTATACCCCCTGGCTATTTAACATATAGCGAACTGGAACATGGTCCATAGAAATAGAGGATAAACATGATGATTTACACGGACCATTGTCAAAAAATCATCATAAATCCTCTACTGGTTGGTGGTTTGAACCCCTGAAAAATATTAGTCAATGGGAAGGATTATCCCTCATATTATGGAAAATAAAACATGTTTGAAACTACCAACCAGTCTATTTTTATGATTTATATCACCATTTTTGGTTATAATGATCCCATACCCAAACTGGTCATGTATAGGTCAAACATGGTGGATCTGTCCATTTCTGCCCGGCCAAGGTGCCGGTCCCCATCCCAAGTTCCTGGAAAGGTGGTTGGAATCGCAACGGCGGCTGGAAAAAGCGCCAAATATGGGAAAATATGGGAAACATATGGGAAACCATGGAAAAACATGGAAAATATGGGAAACACTTGGAACATATTGGATAATAGGGGGAAATATGGGAAAATCCACTGTAAATTGCAAAATCAACTATAATTAAATGAAATGCTTGATTGCATCTAAATGGACCATGGGTCCCAAACCAATGGAGTCGCCTAGTCTTCACACCAAACTAGCTGGTATATCTGAGATTTGACATGTTCTGACTCATCCCCAAATTGAATTATGATACCCTCCAGCAAGTTTCAAACCAGACGACAGGAAATGCCCGTGTTCAATATCCACATCTTCCACACATGGAAGATTCCCGATGAAATGTTTCATGACCCTAATCATATAGCAAAACATAGCAGCCATCAAGTTGTACTTGTGTTGTACACCGCTCAACTAGGGGATGCAACCTGCCTCGACATGTGCTGTCCTTAGTTGGTATAAGTCTAAGTCTTGGGGAAAAAGCCAGTCCCTAAAAGCCCTGATTTTTTTATCATACCCTTTGAGAATCATCAAGCTGCAAAATGTATCTCCTAAAAAAGGCTCAGAAGCAGTGATGATAATTCCAACAAATAAACAATCATCAAAAAGTCATCCCCCAGCTACTATTAAAACATCTGCTATAAAACCATTGCCGGACTTCAGACGTCCCCAGAGGTCCCCAAAGGTCCCCAGGATCACTAAGGGCCCCAGATCTTCCCAGATCTTCGGTGATTTTCCCATCCCAAAAGCGCCGTCCTGCAGCACGGATGTTGCACAGGCGGCTGATGATCGATTCAAACTCCTCTTGGGCATCTGGCTCGGCCTCAACTTTACGCGCCGTTCAAAACACGAGTTTTGGAGCGGTCAAAAACAGGCCGTGTCACATTGGTCTATCATTCTATCCTTCTATCTTTCTATCTATGCGCGTTTTATAATATGTATATCCATATATATATATATATTAATATGTATATATATATATATAGTAATATGTGTGCAGTTACAGATGCTGCTCGGCAAGCGTTCTGAAGAATGCGTTGGGACCATGATATGGGCTTTTGGTCGTATGGGCTGACAAGAATGTGCGTTCAGCCAAAGGTTGATTGGTTGTATACCACATTTGGACTGTAGCTTAGCTCAGTCGATCCCTACTTGGATGTGCATACCACATAGCATATAACTTGGTTTACAACTTAAACATAATATATATATATATATTTATATGTATTATATTTGTGTGTGTAACCTAAAAATAACTGGGATATAATACGGGCTATTACCTACTAGCTACGCAGCTACCAACCCCTCCAGCCAGGCCTGACCAGCAAATTTGCCACTGCGGATTGTGTCGAAGACAGCCTGGTGAATCTCCAGCGGGAGACCCGCGAGATCTAAGGGACACATACAGGAAACCTCCAGCTGTTGATGGTGTAAAAACTATGGTTTTGTGAGTTTTCTGTAGATTTTCTGTAGATTTTCTGTAGATTTTTGGTTACCATTTGGTTATTTAACATAGCCATGGAAAGATCCACCATTTTTAATAGGTAAACCATCTATTTCTATGGGCCATCTATGCCATGGCTATGTTAGTCATAACCAAAGGGAAAAAGGAAAAAGCTCCCACTGGATCGATTGCTGTGGATGTTCGTGATGGTTGCTTGAGGTCCTCTCTGAGGGCCCGTGACATCTCCAAAGGTATTGCTGTTGACACCAAAGATGTGAAGAGAAACACCCATCCATTACTTATCATCGCTTGATTTGCATATAGAAGACTACTTATCATCCATTACTTATCACGCCCATCCACTACTTATCATCCATTACGTAGCAAAGATACATCAGACAACGCCATGACCCCACCTGTAAGCGTGGATCGATGGGATAATGACCTTCCTGGGCCTTGGCGGCAATGCCTGTCACCTGGGCGCCAAAAGGAGGATCATCACCATGCTGGCAGTTGTGACAACTATATGTAGCTTGTGATGAAGAACTAATGGCTACGATGATAATGGTGATAATTGTGGTGACATTTATGCTGAACGATTATGAACAATTGTGGTGACTTGTTCAAATTATGGTTAAACAACTACTGGTAAAAACTATGGCAAAAGTAGTGGTGAGAGTTTTTAATCAGTCAAAACATGAGCAACAATAGTCTACTGATAACATAGAATGTAATAATACCTAGTAGTATTAGTTGGCGATGATAAGAACCATCATCACAAAGGACAAACAACACTGGCACAGCTTGCCTAAGGAAACCAAAGACACCACTGGCCTAATAAACACCAGCATAGCTCGCAAATAGCTTCCCTCATGATAGGTGTGGCCCATCTTGATCCATGTCTCTGATGATACCCTCAGAAAACATGGAGTATGATCCCCTGAGCCAAAACAGTTAGTACCCCTTGTAATTTAACATTGCTGTGACACATAAGCATTTTTACTTTGGGTAAATCATCATAGATAATTCATCGATTAAATGGAGCCAGCACCTTCCATAGCTACCCGGCCAAACTGGAAAATCTCCCATCTACAGATGGGTCGCCCTGCTATAAACCTCCATATATGGGCCTTTCCCAGCTACCATGTTTGATTGCTGGAGGGTATGTGGTTTAATCTAGATAATGGTGGCATAATGATGGTTTACTGTGGTTTAACAAGGCTAATCATGGGATGATAACAGGGCTATAAAGATCTTGATCAAATCATCTGCATATCCGATCCCAACTCCGGGATCTACATTCCGCACCTCGTGTTCCTGGCACCCGAAGATGAACATTGTGTCATTGCCTGGGTCGCGCGGGGCTTCCAACTTCACTACTGCGTATGCTCCAAGGAAAACATCAACAACACGTGATCCGCTCCAGTTCTTCATCATTGGTGGAGCTTCATTTCACCCAGTGCCAGCTGACCCCAGAGGGCTTCCGATCTCTGCTTTCCAAGCTGCCGCATTCCTCGCGGATTTCGATGTTGGCACCATCCATGGTGCCCACAATCAAGCCACCGTTCATCACAAACCTCGGCTCGGCCGTAGAATCAGGGCGACCTTGAACGGTTCAACATCCTGCAACCATTCGCCATTCGCCTCCAAAGAGGAACAAATTAAGAACTAAAACTACGTAGAACTTCTATCCCAAAACGGCTGGTACCTAATGATCCTAATGCCCACCTGATTCTTGCTGGAGAAGCCCCTGCAGGGGTGAAATCCACAAGATCTTGTAGTATCTTGCCATCCACAGCTCCCGCAGTTTTCAAGAGCCAAGCACGCTGTCCTGAAACATCCTCAATATGAATAAAGACCACTGACATCCACTGACCACCAACGATCTACGGCCCTTCAGGCCCTGCCAGAGGTGGGTCGGACGGACAGGCGTGACACAAGTCGACGGGGAAATCAGCTGAAAAAGACGGGCTGGAAGAGCAGCAACGGGCCACAAATAATGGCGCCTTACCAATGGGGCGTTCGCAAACTTGGCATAAGAGTTGCAACCAAAAATAATAGCGCAGTTCTCAGGACCTGGAAGCCCACGTCTGTCCCAAGAACCATCCAATCCGACCACGCATGTGCCCCGATTGTCTCCTCTGCGACAAATATCTTTTTTGAATGCGGCTGCGAATGTTCGCCCCACAGACACACGCATTTTCACCACAACCCTGCCTGGCAGGTGTTGAACCAGCCCTTCCAAGAATTTCAAGAAAATGACACGGCCGCCCAGTCGTCACTGACCCTAGATTGCTTCGGGTTTGCCCACCATGATTTCAACCAAATAGTGCAAGCAACCATCAAACACCCATCAAATTGTCCACGACATCAATGGGCAGAAGGAAGGCCCTGGCCTGTAAACACCACAGGCCGGAACAATGACGGAACCAGGGGTCGCCCTTCAAGCTGGAAACAATTCTCTGTTGACCATGTCTTGCACCATCTTTGAACCTGCCACGACCTTCCCTGTGAGCTCCCATCAGTGGAGGACCTTCTCATATCTTTGCCGGGATCTTTGGTTAGAAAGGAGGTGTAACATCTTCTCCAAGTCTTGGATCTTCGGTTCTGGCGACTTGGCAGCCATCTCTGCCAGTTTTTCAACCATCTTGTTGCTGAACTTCCTTGGTTTTTGGCTGATCCGACGGCCTAATCTTCCCAGGAGATTCAATTTCCCAATCCTGGGGCGCTTGATCATGTGTATTTATTCTGTATAAACAAACATGGCAAATGGGGCATGCTACATAATTACTATGTGTCATTGCAATTTGTATAAGTATAGATCATCGTACTCTAAAATCAACATTGGAAGCTGAAAGAACATCCAAGCTTGCTAGGTTTTCTCTCTTACTCCCTCTAACCTGGCGCCCCACCAAGACCCTCAGTTTGGTGCCACCCATATATATATATATATATATTTATACATATATATGTATATGTATAAATTGTATGTATAAATATGTGTAATATAATCTGTATGTAAATACATATATTATACATTATACATCATTATATATACATTGTATATACATTGTATATACATTATATATCCAGCATAAGCCACAAGCCGCCTAGTGAAACAAAGCGACTTAGCTACAGGGCCAATTTATCATTCGTTTTGCCCAATCTTTTCACTTGATCTGCAAGAATGCGTCAGTGTGATAGTCATTAGTTTTTCAAATCCTCAGGCGAACATGAGCATGCACCCGCCTCATTGCTTTCCAATTCCGCAAAAAAGACAGTGTTATGAAATGACTGGCCCCGACGTCATTTTGTAAAGCATGTGGGCCAAATTTGGCTCTTACAAAATGATTGCCCAACAAAAAACACGCCTTTTACAACATGGCAGGGTTCACTGGTTCACTGGGCACAAGTCGTTATAAAATGCTTCCTTTTGTTGTAAACATGGCCTCTGAAATGGAACATGGGTCCAGCCATTTCATAGTGGAAATGTCTACAGGGATAGTTTTTCCCTTTGGCGCTAGGCCCAGACGCAAGAAAGCCAGGTGTCTGGGCAAAAACCTCCAAGCTGCTGGGGTAGGAAAGCACCACCACCGCCAGCACCTCCAAGCAGCATAGCATCGTTTGCTTCGCAGGGCGCCGGTGCAAACAGTCGGCCTGGGAAATCTAGGAGCTTCGTCACATTTGAGGAACGAGTGCTGCAAAAGCCTGGTAAACTTGGGGCCTCAAATATTTCCCAGGTGTACTCAAATATACTAAAATGGAAGCTGAACCTTGCGAAATATGAGGTTGCAGTCAATTAGAGAGCTGTGAGTAGTATATTAATTAATACAGTGATTCAATCACATGGATGTGCTCATCCCATGGAATTCCAGGGCTCTCTCGGGGGAAAAAAAGCGTTACAACCAAGCAATGGATGGAAATCCCAGGCCAGATCTCAGCCAACTTGTAAAGATCCAAGCCAAGCAGCTAGGAAAGTGATAATGTCCGGCAACAGCTGCTCAATCGCCACCAGGGAACCTGTCAAGGAAATTCAAATGCGAGTGAGTCCTCGCCATTCCGCGAACAAACAGCTGCGAACCGGGTGGTGCTGGCTTCAAAAATCAAAGACTCGAACCTTCCTAAAAGTAGGTAAGGGGTGGTAAGGGGTGGTGAATCTTGGGAAGGTAACGGGGCAACTGTTTTTTCCTAAACGCTCTCTCACGCCCAAGTTGAACCACGGGTATCTCTCTACTATCAACTGCCGCCTGCCTTGCTGCATGCCATCAAAGAAGAGCACAAAGCAGTTGAGCACAGCTGTGAACACGTCCAGCTGTAGCATCTGTATGTCCTCCAGTGGCTAGGTGGCTAACCCAGTTGCTGACATATCCTGGGACACACGGCATGGTTCTGGGCCGGGAGTGAGTGCTGAATGATCTCTCAGTGACCACTGCACACACGACAGGCCAATCCATAGAACACATCCCTGAAGAATTCAAGACAATGAGCTCCTGCACACGCTGGAAACAAGTGCTCTTGCGAATTGCGCTCCCTTCTGCTGCAGCCCTCCCCAGCCTCAAACACTGAGATGCAAACACTTCAGCAACCTGAACCTCATACAGACACATAGCTAAGCTATATATAATCTCAAATACCTTGCACACAAAGGACATGACTATTCATCGCTACCTTCCAAACGAGTGCCTCGCTTTATGTGGGATCATCTGGGACAATCCCTGAAGTGACATGCCTCGGTCCCGATGAATCACCAACTTGGGGGTGCAGTTCCACTAATAAGCGGAACTATACAACCACAAGCTGTATTGGTTATATCCCAGCTGAGGGTAACCATGGTTATACCTAGATCTTCCTGACTACAAAAATTTCAGCCCGAAGGCTTTCAGGCAGCTATTCAGCCCGAATCCAGATTTCTCGCCCGCAGGCAGAATTTCTGCCCGAATGCATTTTAGGTGATTTGGTGGTGTTTGATGGTTTTTGCACAATATCATGTAACATAGGGTGGTCATGTAATACATAAAATAGGTATTCCTCAATCAAAATTCTATCAACCCCATTATCTCCACAATGTTGTTCTTCAAAGAGTTGACCATTGACTCATAAGGGATGTGGCTAGTTAAACATGAACCCTTCCGTATAACCCACGCATACCCATGCCACACTTTTGCACCTGTGCTGCCAATGCTGCCAAGTGTGAAGTGAGGGGGCTCGAGACCCCAGAGCTGGGAAAGGGATGGGCACCGAAACAGCATGTTTTCAACTTTGGAATGTTACCCAAACTTGGTTTCAGCAAAGAGACTTCTAAAGCAATCTCACTTATCAATTCTATATTTTCCGGTGTTCTCTCATCGTTTGGCCCAAACCTTTTTGGTTTTCTTTGCGTCTCGCCTTTTGATCAAACATGAAACCTTCATGAAATAGCGGTGGATCACCCGTAGGTCACATAGACGGAATCCAACCCGTCGGGATAACCGCGAAATTCTTCCCATAAAATCCTCATTGATTTCACAAGCATTGCATTGCGGTGATAGGATTAGAGTAGCTCCTTTGCGCAACTCTCTTTGCAAATGAATAGCTACATGGTGTAAAGCGTGGTGCTTTGGCTTCTGTATGAAGGCCCTAATGCGAAGGTTGATTGCAGCCCTCCCCAGCACCGAGTATCCTCGTAGGACAGTCATTATGCGCACATAGCATAACATGGCACATTTTCTCCCAAGCCAAAGCCGGTGATGGTGAAGCATCCGTAGACTAAGTGCCGCATCACATACCTGATTCATTTGTTTCAATAGTACCTCGTGGCCTGGTACAGTAGGATTTTGGATGTTTAACTCCAAGGTGTAGCTCAGCCATTGGAGAAGTAAAATACTGTCACTTCCCTTGCTCGATGCCCAGGGTGCCGAAACCAGCGTCTTCATGTTGAAGAATGCCTTGGTAAAGCTTCTCAGGCCTGGACTTTTACCTTGGACAGAACACCAAAGGGCGAAATAGGAATGAGCCCTCTGGAATCGGTCCACGATGTTGACTGTGCTGCCTGGAAAGTCAAAAAAAATCAGCCTCAGTAATAGCACCAAAATTCCTCCGATGATGTCCCTGGCAACACCAAGTTTGTGTATATGGAACAAGTCAGGCTGCAGAATCAGCTCAGGGCATGTGTCATCAAATGGCACCCGTGAAAACTCGGGGGGTTCATCCAATGACCACGGTCTCTCAACACAGAAAGTTTGCAACCATGTGGGGAACTCGGAGTAGTCCTCAAATGGAACGTTGGGGCCACCTGCTTTGCAAAGATGACACAGTTCAATAGATCTGCTAGTGCCAAGATTGCTGTAGCTCCTCTCCAGCTGCATGACTTTTTTGTGGAAATCCATGTCGCCCTTGATAGCTACTATCGCAGCATACATGATACCATCAGAGGTGCTCACTCCTTCATCAAAAAGCTTCTGGAAGCTTTTGCTAACTTCCTTTATCAAATCATCAACAACGTTGGGGTTCCGTTTGTAGATCCAACCACCAAGTCCAAACAGTAGAAAATGGGACAAGTAGGAATGACCTTTGAAGTTTGTAGTTTGCTTCGAGCAAGTCTCCAAGATTTCTGGGTCAACAGCTTTCAAATCAGGACCGTAGGAAGGCAAACCAGAGCGCTTGCCCAACTCTTCATGGCATGTGCACTTGATCGTAGGGTCATCCAAAGATCCAAGGGGTGATTCTATGGACAAAACCAGGTAGTTTGTTCTTTTCACTGCCCTTCCTTCATCACCATGTAGAATCAGGGGCACCACTCTGTCCAAACGCCCTTGATGTTCAGAAAAGACTTTGTGTCCTGGATGTTGTAATTGGTAAGCATGCCAGAACGATTTGAAATTTTTGTGTGCACATCCATTCCATCCACCTAAGAGCTCTGGGCGCTCATTCATCCAGTGTTTTACCCAATCTTCTGGTTTGATGTGGTAGCTGGTGAGTCTTGTAACATCGGCAGTCTCACAGACATGATCCATGGTGTGGATTGGCACAGGGAGGGAATACCCCATTTTTTCCATCTTTTGATGTATAAATCTTGAAGCATTTGTGTCAGTGTAGTCATCGTTCCCTGACGCTCGTGGATCCAGGGAGCGAATAGATCTGGCAGCGCTTGCAGCTGTGGCCTTGGCAGGCCACAAATGGGAAGGGAGATTCCAAAAAAGAGGCCACAAAAGTTGAGACCCTGACACCATCACCCAGTGAATCGGCAAGATTGTCAATAAAGCGTTCAGGGAGAGTATTCTCCCGTTGACCTGGCAGCAAAGCTCATGGGGTGGTTAACTTATGGAATCCAACAATTCACTGAAGTATTTTGCGTAAAAGCAATGAGAAGGAATATGTTTTGTATCCTTTGGCCACAAAAGCAACTTCCACTGCAGTCAGCCTGCGTCCTGGCTGTCGCAGGGCAACTCAAACGTAGCAGGATTGAGTTGGGAAACCAACTGTTGGGTCCCAGCCTTGTAAGATTTGTCAGTGAGGATACACCACCACACTTTCAAATCGCAGCTTTCCAGGAGACCATTTTTTTCCAGAAAAATAACATATTCCAATCCACAATGACATCATAAATTCGTTCATTTTTGAAACCATAGTCGGTGAAGTTTCAACAGCCTATGGATCAAATTATGATGTTGTGGGGGTCCGGCTGCTTACCGTTGGCACGGCGTGCTGGGGCAGACTTTGCCTGGCCAGCAACCCCTCCGCCAGGCTTTGCTGCAGCAGCCTTCTTGGCCGCCGCTTTGGGGATCTTGGGAGCCTTTGGAGGCTTGTCCTTGCCATCAGAAGCGGGCAATCTGGTCCTGGGAACGAGGCGTTCAAATCAAACATACCCTTTATATATCCCTTAATTTTCCCAGCTTCAACACTTGTTGCATTGTATTGCATTGTGGAAACTTAGGATCAAACTTCGCAAAGTGTGCCAGGGCCATGGATTCTGCCAGCCTCAATTGCTAGTTAGTTTGGCCAGATCATTCAACTATTCGCAACCCCTAGGCCCAAACAAAAGCAGGCAAACATGTTTTAAGGGCCCAGGCTTTTTGCGGGCAACGTCCAACTCCATAGAGATTTTTTTTTGCAACCTAAGGCAGCAAAGGTGTGGTGTTGCCCAAACATACTACATGTACCTGGCCAAAGCCAAGTACCAGATTTTGAGCTGCATGCCGGGACAACCAAGAATTTAATCTATCGTATTTTGATCAAGTTACTAAGGAATAAAATAATAATATAATAAAATAATAATATAATATCTACTTGGGTTTTGGGCAACCATGTGAGTATTGAAAATGGCAGGTGGGATATCATCCTGAATTCTCATACTTCCACTATACCTGGGCATTGACTATGGTACCAAATTTGGCCCCTACATTCTTGGTACGCCATTACATGCAGGGATATGCAGGGTAAGGGCGGCTTGGGTTTTAGCTAACTATGACTTGCGGCTGTCATAGCGAACCAATCTGGAACATACCCATTTTTCACCATAGTAAAAAAAAATAGAATCTTTGTTTGGTGGTTTCCAACTTACCGACACGAATCATTGAGGATTCCCATTGGTCAAGGGACGCCCTGGTATAGCCACCTTCAAGGATACCTTCCCCGTGCATGTCCATAAGTTGTTCATCATGATGAACAAGTGCATCCATGGCCTGCTTGATCTTGTTCTGCATCCTTGGGCCATGGGTGAAAAAAATATGAAAGAACAATGTCTTTTGATAACGGGATTCCTGACTTCAGTTCAAGGTTATATTTGATCTTTATAATTCCCTTTCGTGGTATTTTCCCCAGTAGTTTCCAACGAAACATAGCTAATAATGTCAGTATACCCCAAGAAGAATGATATAATGTGTTGCATCATATTTTTGGAACCATCATCAATGATTATTTTCTAATTTGATCATTGGGTCCTCCATGTCCCACCCAAAAAATAGCTTGGTGTCAAGTATCCGCTCTTGCAAGGGTGTAAGACGGCCAACAGACTTACAAGTCTCCATCATGGCTTCTAACTTACCAACTTGTTTCTGAATGCTTCCACATGCTTTGGGGACCAGTGCTGAAGGGGCAGTGTCACCCTCAACCTGTGGAAACTGGAGCTTATCCATCTCCCGTTTCACATCCTCAGATTCCACCTGGACAGGTGCCGTATCGGCTTCCTCAGTGGCCTTGTCCAGCAGCAGACCTGACCAAGGACAGAGGGATGGCAGAGTTTGAGGGTTTAAAAGGTGGGGAATGCTGGTATGTTCAAGTTGGTTCGCAACACTAACCTTCAAATAAAATCGAAATTCACCAGCATTGTGGCCTGGTGCTGCCGGGGTTTGCTCTTGTTGGTTGCCTTCCATGAATCCCCACTCCAGCTCGGGAGCATCGGTTGGAACATCATGGCCAGAGTCCTTTCCCACTTCCTCCTCCCACTCGGAAATCTCCGTAGAGATGTGCCGCTTGGTTTTCCTTAGGCGTCAAGACTATTAAATTTCGTGAGGTTATGTTTTTTGGGCTGTTATGTGTTCACAACATAGTCTGGCCTACGGGGGGGCCACAGATGTGTTCAAAAGTATGAGGGGGGAAAAACAGTTACTTAAAAACACATATCGCATCGCCACGCAGGCAACCTCCAAACCAGCAACAAAAACAATAGAATAAGATGCAAATCTTTAGCGACTTGAAATGGGCCCAAAATCCAACAGACCAACAGAATGACCTGTATGTGCTTAACATCCATACTAGCAGGTTGCATGACACTAGCGATTGGTCCGTACCCAAAAGCTTGAGGCTAAAGTCTAAAGCTCAACTCTAGCAAGCAGCTAACGGGTTACTATACATTTGTAGCCATGATACCACCTTTTGTAGTCACAAACATAAACTAAGTTGGCGGCTCTGCTTACCTAAATACTCAGACTCTAGGGCTGCCGGCTGCCAGCTGCCCAAGTTATTTTTTTTAATGTGTGCCTTACAATATGCATTTGTTGTTTGTTTTTGAACGATATCAGAAATTTCTGATGCATCTTGAAAAAATATGTATCAGAAATTTCTGATACATATCAAAATTTTATGATACATATCAAAATTTTATGATACATATCAGAAATTTCTGATACATATCAGAAATTTTCTGATACATATCAGCTTTTCCTGATACATATCAGAAATTTCTGATACATATCAAAATTTTATGATACATATCAAAATTTTATGATACATATCAGAAATTTCTGATACATATGTTTTTGGATGTCAAAACCTGATTGGTATCAGAATTTCTGATACACACCAGTCTTGGGGACACAATATGTGTAAAAAAGTTTCAAATTGAGTGGTTTTGGAAGCTGTTTTCAAACTTTTTTACACATATTGTGCACATTCATCATGTTTGCACTAGTTGTTTTTCCAATATGAGTTGGACTATAAAGCAACATGCCTCCACTTCACACTTGCACATGCACTTCAAAACAAACTTGCTTAGTACCCAAATTCCTGTTAAAGTTGGTGATTTCGCCCAATGTATGTGTTAAACTGAAGTTTAGTAATCATTATTGGTTTTGCATACAACTTTGTGTGTGGCTTGCAGTTTTTCACAAACGAAACCTATTACCATCATTCTGCCACACATTCTGTGTGAAGAATTTTGCAAAGCTTTAGTGGCCATGAAAATGATCACTTATGACCATAGTTGATCGATTTTGCATAGGCCAAGATCACATTTGTCCAATTCGCATGGTTTAATCAATCAATAAGAACTTAATGTCTGACCCATTTATGTTTGACAACTCAAGCCATACTTCTTAGATGCTGCAATGCTTTGCCAGCTTGGGTTGCCATTCATAGATCTGCAATGGTTTCAGCAATTAAATCTGTCATGTGTTGATAATCATCATTCACACAAAGCTGTTAGATTACATCATTGAACTTTTTTTAAAGCCCATGAACTTTGAGACTGCTGTGCCAGTGCAGTTAATCAACTTTCTGTCTGTATGAGTGTGGCTAATGGCTGTATGGTCATGTGTTCTAGGGCGGCATCTCATGATATGTGTTCACAAGTCTCGTTTCCCCAAAATTGAATAAAAAAACAATTCATTTTGGCGCAACCTAATGTTTCAACACATGTTGGTGAATTTCAATCGCAATTTCTGATAAACGAGAGCTCGCGAAATTCTATAGTCAAGACTGTCACAAACCAGAAAAGAGACTATTGATACATACCGGCTAAACAAAGGATCCATTCTTATACATACCCATGGGAATCATGTGCAAATAAGATTTTGTTGTCACTGAATTTCAAGTCATCATACCCTCGCCGTAGCTTAACCTGCAAGGGGTGCATTGATTCCATGACTTCACACGGATGGAACTTGAGCATCATAAGTATGAGGATTGTTTGATGGGAGAAAACCCTGCCTTGTAAGATGGGGCCTGGTCTCACAGTATCGCATGACGCCTTTGATCTTGGTCCTTAGCTCGTTTGGGAAAGACATGTTCGGGATTAATGGGCATTTTGAATTCAGATATGTTGGAAGTCTCAATTTGCATCAATTTTCTATTTCAGGATGGTTCATGTCAAAAATGGCGGTGATAGCTGAATTCATCGACATCAACTTATGCCCCCACAGTGTAGAATTATTATGAATTATTTTACATCAAGTGGCTCTGAGAATTCCATCTTCTGCATATCAGCCACCGTAAGCCACTCTCCCTCAATCTCACTAGCTTCCTCTGAAATACGCTCTGTGATGGCCTTGCAGCGTTTGATGAATCTGTCCTCCAGGGCAGAGACGGTGAAACAAGGTAAAAACCGGTCAGAATATAGATGAATGTTGTAGCTCTCGTGATGAACACCTTGAACTTATGGGCAATTAAGCTAGTGGGATAATTGGTTGACATGGAACCCATGGGAATCCAGTGGTGTATGATAGCTCTTGTAAGTTCATGAAGTTATTCAGCAACAACTGGTGGTTAAACAAAGATAGAATATAAAATATGATGCAAACATAGGTCAGGTTTGGTCAAACCTGTCCCTTTGGTATCCAACTTTCTCGAACATGCTGTAGATCTCATCACGGCCGCCCCCATCAACATCACTCCAAGCTTTGTTCCACTTGTCATCTAGGATGTAAGTTCCATCTTGCCTTCTCTTGAAAACTCGGTTGATGCGCATGTAAATTGCCTTTTCACTCAAAACCTCCGGTGGTACTGACATGGCAACGTAAAGTTCTGGGTCATCAACATCACCGGCAGGCCGTTTGAAGTTTGGGTAACCACCATCTCTTGCATTCAAGCACCCAAGACCATCTACTTGCGATGAGGGTGTTCCAAGAATTTTCTCAAGATGACCAGGGGGTGGAACAGGTTTCATAGGGGACGGAGCTGGGTGCTCATCCACTGATTGCCCACCCGTCATGTGAGATTTCCTGCTCTCATCCAAGCTTTCTACCCCATGCAACTGACCTGGCTGGGTTTCATCCTCAGGGTTTGCAAACTCAGTAGGCCCAGCACCCCCAGACCCTAGCTCTGCAGCTGCACGAGGAGGTGGTGGCGAAGGTGGTACTTCATCTTGTCCTGAAGGACCGAAGCAAGGACCACCAATGGCATTGCCAAATGTAAAAAATAAGATGTAAAGTATGGGTATATAAATATTATTTTTACTATATACACACATTATTTTTAGTATATAATATATTTTAATATATTATATATTATATATTATAATATGATATATTATATAATCATATATGTTTATTATATATTATATATTATTTACAATATTGTGTATCTATGAAACTATTTTATATATATTATATCTCATTTTACGGGTGGGAAGCATTGGAATTGTTTGGACCCCATGGTTGATTGTAGTAACTAATTGTTTTTTGTTGGTTGGTGTAACCATGTCAATGGGGCAACGACCCTGACCCTTTTACTCCATGTCCCATCATTTCCCAGTTGTCTCCTGCTTGAGCTTCTTGTGCTTCCCTCATTTGCCTTTCAAGTGCCTGGGCTGGCCATAGAATTTAACCAGGCCATACAGGTAGGATACAATACTTTTTCCAATGGTCCATGTGTATCCATTTTGTCATGTTTTGTTCATGGCCCCAAGCATGTACTAAATCCCAACAAAGCCGCAATCTGGGAACCAATCCCTGAAAAATGTTTTTATATATGACTGAATATTCCACAGGAAAACAAAAATATCAAAGTATGCATCACCAAAACCATCCAACTACAGTAGCTACCTTTGCCTGGTTAAGCCTTAAGCTGGGGTGCCTCCAGTCGTTCCAGTTCTGCCTGCATGGCTTCTGGATCAGGATCCGGCATCTCCGACATGGCTCGATTGGACCCTTCCTCCAGGAGATCCAGTCCACGTATCAGGGTGTCACAAGACCAAGCTTTGCTAGCAAAACTTGTCATAGACTGGGCTACCTAGAACACACCTAAAGCCAACACCTGAGGAATTTGCAATATCATCCAGCAAAAAATCAAGATTTTCCAGCCACCAAAAAAATCACATTTCGTTCAACCCAGAAATTGTGGAACGGGAATTCTCGCCCGATCACGGGAATTCTCGCCCGATCACGGGAATTCTCGCCCGAATTGGAAGTACCAAAATTTGAGAAAAAATCATTTGTGTTTTTTTTTGGATCCTATTTTTTTTTGAAACCTGTCCCCATCCCATCGACCAAAATTATCTTTTCAGGACCCCGAAGCATCAGATTGTTGGCATGAATTTGCTGAATTGGATTGAATTGCTCAGTCCATGTTCAGTCCATAAGGCTAGCCAGTTAGGCCGCTGAACTGGAAGTTTCAAGTTGAAAAAGCACAGCCCGGTAGGCAGGTGGCAGCTGTAGGTGCCGAGACCCCCTACAATACTCATACACTGTCCACAGCTCCGCGTCATCCCAACAGTCACCCGTTGGCATCGACAGTAAGAGCTCCAACACGGAGGGCTCTTCGTCCACCTGGTCAGGAAAGGTATGTCATGCCGCAATATATGTAATAGAATTCCTTTGTAGGATGCCATGTATGAATGCAAAACCTTGAAAGAGGGACAGCCAAAAGCAGAACCAGCACCTGTGGGTCTGGAAGTTCAGGCATCGTTTCGAAGAATTTATTCTTGTACTCCAAGATCTTTCCAACAAATTTGGCAGGATATAGTCTTAGATGATGCAATGACACCCCAAGCCACCAAAATCCAAACAAAGTAGGGTACGTATCCCCAAAACGGAACATTCTGGGAAACATGTCTAAACAGCAAACCAATGACTGCAAAGTAGAAACTGTGTCCCTTTGAGTGCAGATCCAGCCCCCTTGTAACGGGTCTTTCCAGACTTGTCCTTGTATTTAACGGCTGTTTTCACCAATGACCTGTGCTTGGTCTTCTGAATTGGTCCAAGATCCAGGTATTGGATTGCCCGGGAAGTTGACCACAACAATGTTCGTTTCAAACAAAGATGGCCATAATGTTTCATCCATAGAGATTGCTTGAAGAGACCTGAGTTGATGCAGTTTCTAGCATTATCCCCAAGATGTGGTTGAGCATTAGGAGAGAGGGTAGGGTATTTGAAAGCCAGAAACCAGTATAATTGCCATAAATACAAAAATATTCATTGCTTGTGAAACATAATTTAAACACATTTAAACCAGTTGTTCATCAAGTGAAGATCCCAAAAAAGGAACTATTCCAAGATCAGCCAGTCTACTAATCCCACGGGCACGGAGCATGGCCACAAGCTGCTGAAATCTTCGTTGGGCATTCAACAACGTCGAGATCGGATTCTCCACCACTGGAACTCCATCACAGGCTATTATCAATAGTACTATGAGCACCGTCCTGCATGGGGCTAGAAATTGGATCCCTCATGTCCCAAAAAGTTGAAGACTTGTTGAACTTACCCCCATAACTTTTCGCAATCCGTTCCTGCATAGACCTCTGTTGGCCTTGTACACAGCTAAAGATATGGGGCATCCCTGTGGCAAGAACTGGGTACGCATAGTAGAGCCCCTGGAGATACTCACAAAGGTGCTGCAAACAACACCAAGAAGGCCCAAAAAGGCTCCCCACTTTGCTCGAAGCACCATGACGCAGGACAACCTGGATTGGCGAGAGAAGCACGAAGGCAAATGCAAAGGGATGGGGAGAAGGACTGCTATTTTGATTTACTAATGCATGTTCCTGTGCAATATATCGTTTTACCAACAATAAGTTTCAGGGTCAAACACGTTTTAATAAAGGGTGGAGAAACACAAAGCCACCAGAAGTGTTCATGTCCATGGCATTGTTCTTGGATTTATTGTCACCCAAGGTATCGAAGTCCCTGTCCATAGCTGCTGTTTTCATTTTGAGCCCCTTGGCAAGTTTCACAAGACGTTGTTGACCTGCATATAGTTCCAGCACATCGTACTCATTCTTCGTCATATCAACCACGTCGAGGTATCCAATCAGGATGATAATGACCACAAATACCTGGGTCCAGGATACAGTCACTATAATATAGTTGTCCTAGTTTTTACCAATTTCATGTGTTTCTGGTCTTTGGTCATGTTGTAAAAGAAGCCTAGGTGCCTTTGGAGCACCAAGCCAAATCAGTTGGCGAAGTACGTATTCCAGTTTGGGCCGCAAAGGGGGGTCAGCACCATCGCTACACTTGACCTTCCCCATGGGATCCTAATACCAAAGGGCTAAGCATCCACTGAACCCAAACTCTGCAGATTAAGGTAGATTAAGAGAGGTACCCATCTTCATGGCCCATGACATCCAGTCAATTGGTGCATATTACATTAAGAACAAACCCCAAACTGGCCAGGTTTACGTGGCTCCACTGGTGGCTCTTCTTCGATCACCCCGTACCTCACGTACGGGCCTAAGTTCCGCAGCTTTGCAGAGCGGACCATGGTACCTGGAGCAAGGATGGAGGACCCAACAAATATTAGAGACAGGGTCTGAAGGTAAGGTGTTGGGGAATTATTGGGAGGTCGTCGGAACAACTGTTTTAACACCTTTTTCCCCCAAGCTAGGATTGTCCCAGCAGGTTTTCAGCTGCTAGGTTCTGGAGATCTCGCTAAGATCCATGAACGCTTGCAAACACATTGGTTTTTCCATCAGGATGGGAAGCATAAATATGGGAAACCATTGCGCAATATGAAAATCTATGTATGTAGAGTAGAGTCAACAGTTAGTTGTTTTTTCAAACTTCACCACATTCCATCCCTTCCGCTCAAGTGCCCAAAGTGTTGACTAAGCAAGCAAAACCCCATATCATAGAGCTATGGCATCATTGGTCATTGCGTAGATGCATCAGCTCACTTCATCATACCTCAGCTGGCCAAAACAACAGCTCTTAAGTTTCAAAATAGGGTTGGATGATTTTTGGTGATAAAACTTGGTGGACAAAAGAAGATCTATGTTAGGCCAAGTACGCTTGACATCTTCCAACTCCAAGAAATCAGGAATGCAACCATGAATGAACGACGGGTAGTTGGTGATCTGGATGGGTGCTGCTTGCGACTTCATATGCTTCATGCAATGGTTCCACAAAGTCGCCTCCATGGGGAAAAAAACAACCCCACAATGTAAATTCTTTTGATGGGAAAGAAATTGGTTAAAGTTGGAGGCTGTACCAGAAATCCACCAGTGAGCCTCCATGGTAGAAACCTTGTTCAGCAAGTGCTTCAAGTGCAAATTGAAATTGTCCTTGATCGCGTCAAAGCGGGCTGCAGGGTCTGATCGCTCAGGGCGATACCGGCGGGCAAAGGACTTTCTCCCACCTGCTTCATCACCAACTTCATCATCACCATCACCTCCATGAACTGCCTGGTTGCTGGCAACCTCTGGGTCATCAGCAGGGGCCTCCACAGCAGGTCGGTCATGGGCAGGATCCTGCTCAGGCATGGCAGGGGCGGCAGGGGCAGGAACTTCTTCATGGCTTTCAGGCAGAGGTTCGCTTTCTTCATCTTTGGTCTCCTGGTTTTTTCTGCGCTTTGATCCTGCATTCTTGCCTTTCTTTGCAACTGCTTTGGCCTTGGCCTTTGCGGCCTTTGCTTCTTTGGCAGCCTTGATCTTTGCGGCCTTTGCTTCTTTTGCAGCCTTTTTCTTTTCTGCTGCTGCTTTCTTCTTTTGCTTTTCCTTCTCGGCTTTGGCAGCTTTCTTGGCCTTGGCCTTTTCTCGTGCTGCTTTCTGCTTCTCTGCCTTTGTCTTCCCTCCCTTGCTGCGTGCCTTGGTTTTGGGCTCCTCGTCACCTTCTTCATCATCAAGACCTTCACCTCCTTCAGTCTCCTTGCTGCGTTTCTTTGCCTCAGCGTTCAATGCATTCCTCTCATCAAACTGGTCTTTGCGTGTGACGACTTCGTTGGCATGAAAAAGATCCTCATCACCTGTTTTCTGGTCCCCCTCCCCAACATCTTTGGCTGTGTTATCCATGCCACCCTCCACATCCACAACCTCAACACTGCCGGACTTCTCCAAGGGAGGTTCTGTGGGAGAAGGTTCTGGGACCGAAGGTTCTGCAACAGAAGGTTCCGGGACCGAAGGTTCTGCAACAGAAGGTTCTGGGACACTAGGTTCTGGAGCAGAAGCTCCAGAAGCTTCCACTTGAGTAGGTACCCTGCCAAACCGTTTTGGAGTAGACTGATCAACAGGAATCTCAGCCGGGGGGTTCTCCATCCATGTTTTTGCCACTGGGGACATATCCATGGCTTGAGTCTCCTGAGCATCAGTGGCCACCTGTCGCGCCTGCAAAGGTCGAGCCGAAGACTGGACTTTTTGCTGCTCCAGCCGCTTCCTTACAGGCAACTTGTCGGTGCTGGAATGGTGGACATCATTCTTGGGGATTCTTGGGGCAAATATACTGGCAAATCATGGTAAATCTATTCGAGACCCGAAAGACCAGAAAATAAGGTTTTCCATGTTGGGGCAAATAGTTTAATCCATTTCTGGGAAGTTAAGAAAATTATGAAAGGCCAAGATCAGAAACTTAACCATCTTGATCTTCTCCTGCAAAGCGGCTAGATCTTCTGGGGAGTACTTACCGGCAGAAGGCAATGGATCTGTCACAGTCGTAGTAATTGGGCGATCAGGGGAGGCCACCACCTCGATCACATCGGAAGCTTTGGGCGTAACCTCCATCTCCGTAGGTGTGATGGCAGGGCTGCAAGATTCCCCACTAGACATGGGCTGAGAGTCAATCAAGGTATCCGCTAGTGGTGCATGGTCACCATGATTCAAATTGTCAGGGACCTGGGAATCTCCATATTCCATTTCAAGGGCCACCTCACCAGAACCAACTGCATCTTCATTTGCCATGAAAGTATCCGGGGGGATTTGTGAGTCGGGCATCGGCTCAACAGGATGGGCCACAGGTACAACACCCAAAGACTCTGCCAAGACAGACTCACCATAGTCATCGCTGAGGCATGGGGTCTCACCTGGGAGATCCTGGCCATCAGCAGCTGGTTCACCTGTGTTGGCCACGGACTCTTGGCTCTGCGTGCGGGGCTTTTTGAGAACAGGCCAGCTCGCCATGATGTCATAGAGGCTCTTGATAGCTGCATCCTCAGATCATAACAACAGTCTAACATGATCTAACATCTAACCCTTTAAATTTTTGAGGCATTGGATTGTCCCATTTGTGACAATGATTGTCTTGAATTCACTATGTTGTCTATGAATAAAACAGGTTAATGCTGTCAGAAGTCCCGACGGTTGGAACCATTATGGCGACGCACAAGGTAGGTCACGAATCCCCTGATTGAAACTGCATCACAATTCACCTTGACCTCATCGTCCTCCCAGCCCTGCTTGGAGCGGAACGTTCTCACCTGGTTGCAATAGCTGTCGAATTGGGTTCTAGGGAGACGTTTGGAGGAGCAACCTAAAACACAACCATGTAACAAATTTGCATAAAGTGTGTCAAAATATTTTAACACCAAGTTCTGAAGAACCTTTTTTGTTGGTAACCACACCTCGTCACGGATGTGATCGATGTGGATAGTCTTGGCAGTGGAGACTTGTGGAACCCAGATCTCCATGACGTAGGAAAGCACCCTAGTATTTCTGCCCATGGTGCTAAAGTTGATAACTCCAGTATGCTTTGGGGACGGCCATGACAAGAGTGTCCCATTCATGAGGGCAAACCGGCGAATGGTCTCATCTTTGTCCCACTTCCCCCAAAGCCCTGCCAAGGATGTTCCTTCGATTGGGGCCTCATCCACATCATCATAGGCATCATTGAGCGGGTGCGCGGGCAAGGGCAAATCCATACTCAAGAATTAAGGAACCCAAATGTTTGGAAACCCTGTTCAAGCCAAATGGTCTAGATGGAAACAGAGGTGATAACATGTGGAATCTTTCCCAATCCAAGTGTCCCAATCTTAGTTGTCGGCTGCACGGGGCAGCTTGACATGTATGCTCATCCTTACATGATGGCATTTGCCATTTTGTCTTTACTTGCTAGCATCCTGCGGAATCCGGGCTAGTGGTGGGGCACGAGTCGTTGATGGGCAACTTGAACACTGGCTTGAAGAGCATCATGAAGAATCACCTGCGTGCGGGCAGTGAATTTTAGTGCATATTCCCATTACCAAATTGAAGGGTATATTTAATAGGCAGGGATGCAGGGATAGTTAAAGCGGTTTCAGACCCAACATGTTCAAACAGCAATTAAATACCAACATTTTCTTCACCAATTTTACTCCCGTACCCCCGAGAGTTTCGAAGCCGAAGTCAAGTCTGTGCTTGACACACGGTTGACACAAGGTTGGCCATCACTCACTGATCCGTGGATGCTCAGCGGCCTTACAGCCAGCGGGCCGGATTCACATAAATAATACAATAATTTCTACTACATAGATAAATGTGTGATCAATTTTTTGAAGCGATTCCTGGTCAAGGGACGGGTCTTTTGATGTTTCTGCACGACAGAGGCCAAATAGTAAGCCGTGCCAGCCAAGCGATAGTTTTCAAGAATCATCTTTGCCCGGGCATCAGACAGGCAATCCTAGGTTTCTATACAATCATAGAAGTTAAATGGAATCAGCACTGCAACATCCATGTGAAGTGTTTCACCTGGCAAGAGACTTCCACAGGGCAGCGAGGAAAAATCACCCGCTGGGTTGCTGTCCACCAACGAGCTGGAAGTGCATCTAAGCCTCCCAATAAAACCATAGACAATGCATTCTATCTAGCTAGCAGGAGGTGATTGAACAATAAATCATACCAATTGACCAGCCTTCCTCTTTCAGAGCATCCTTTGTCTTTTCAGACACCGAGCGAAACAGGTGAACGTTCATGGGTCAGAAATCCTAAATACCTAAAGGGCAGGCTACAACCTTTGATCCAAAATGATTTCTGTCACATGAGCGGGCTCCAAAACCATTCAATTGTCCAAATTTGCACTGTGCCAAATCAACCATCAGCGACAAATGCTGCAGGCAGGGCAGTGGGGGATGGCGCCTGAAGAAGTCCAAGAAAAAGAGGATACCTAAACCTATCATTGAGCCTGTGGCTACAGCCACCAAAATCCTCCAAAATCCTCCAAATCATGATTTCTGCCCGAGGGCGTTTTTTTAGCCCGAATGCCTTTCAGGCAAAAATCCTGTTTCAGGCAAGAATTATAGCCCGAATGAATTCCTAGGTATAGGTTATAGCCGTTATAGCCATCATCCATCAAATGCCGTTTTTAAATGTCTAAACCATACAAAATAGCTTAGAAACATTTAGAAACACACATTAATGTTGTACATTGTTGTACATTATCCCATATGATCCCATGATTTTCACAAGGCACCGCATCCAGGTCTTCAGCACTTGCTGAATCTCCGGCCGCTGAAGCTCTCCATCCGCTCTCCAAGCGGCCGCGAAGGCGCCCAAGCAACGCAGGGCCAGGGGGCACAGCTCCGGACCTGCCAGCTGTCCAATTTTTTTTGGTGGCACCGGGGCTGGAAAAAACCATGGTTAATATGTTTTGTTATTCAGTAAACCGTGGTTAACCCAAAAACCATGGTGAAAACATGATCCAAAACATCAAACATTGGGATTAGCGTCCTGGAGACGGATTGAGATATTGAAGAATCATGGCTTTCTTTAGCAGAACAACCATGACATGGTTTTTAGTTCTTTTTGCTCCAAAATGATGTGGATTCTGGAAATGCAACTGCACAAACTATATACCGTGTTCAAATTTTGAGAGAAGGAAAGAAACATCTCTCTCTCTCTCTCTATGTATTTCCGCATGTATAGCGTATTGTCCTCCAATTCTGATATTCAATTGGGATTCATGTAACACTGGGATGTCATAGAATGAGACCAATCATATTTTCCAACCTGGAAGATTCTAGATTTCAATCGGAAACCCAAGGATAGCAAATCATTTAAGGGAAAGTTACACTCTTTCAAGTTAACATGACGGCCCTGTCATAAGTTGGGGGTCGGAACATTAGAGTCCACTAAAAAATGTCTATCTTCAGGGTCGAGCTGTTAATTTGGTGGAGGGTAAATCACAATACCATTTCTGGTCCGGTGGAGCTTCTAAATTTTGCTTGCATCAAGTCTGAAATAACCAGGGCAAATTACAGTACATCAAATTACTATACACACAGCTTGGCATCATTGACCATTATATAAACAAGACAAACATGTCCAAACCTATAGAATTCAGCTGGCATGTCATGGGAGCCGGCTGACCAATCATGTTTTGTGGTTTTTAGCTCAACTTCTGATTGGCTTTATGCAATTTATCTAGCAGCCCTCCAACAAGCGCATGTTTGGCAAACAAATCATAACATGTAGAGGTACATCACATTGCAAGACTACTTTCTCATATTGTTTGGGATGAATTGGGAAGAGCACACAATACCCATGCATGGTAATTGATTTCATCCATAAAGCCCAATAAACCATATAAATCCCATCGACTTCCCATTTAAAACCATTGCCTGGTCACCAGGAGTATATAGCGCCTTGCGCCGGCTCCGCTAGCTGCAGCAAGCGCGGCAAGGTCGAACACGCGTGGTCCGAGAGAAGGGAGACGTGGGAGACGTGGAGCTCCAGTAGGATCTGCAACGTCGCCTTGCAGGCCTGGTGCAACTTGGGACATCACTTGTTGCTAAGTAAAAAAAAAACTCACCCATGATGTGCTGCTGCTATACCTATATAGTGTCTTATAGACCGAAAATTATAAGTTAATAGCATTGCTGATAAATATAAGTGATACTGAATGATTTCCTTAACTGTGATATAGTAATGCGTGTATATATATGTGTGTGTGATCATTATAAAACCAAGAATATACTTGATTATTGGCTATTTGTTTTCCAGAAATCACACTGGTTATTGGCTATTGTCGGTTATTGTTGGCTGTTGGTTTGCCGAAAGAATATACTTAAATTCTTGGCGGGTTATATTTTGCCGGAAATAAACAGCATATAATTAACGTTATTATACTACAGTATATTTGTTCAACCTGTATCTTGTCAATGTGAAAAAACAACTTGGGATTAGCGCCCAAAAATGTGACACAATGGAGATATAACGGGGATATTTATTAATGGTAGATGGATTTTTAGTAGAGGTTCACTTTACCAGTCAACTAGTGTTGGATTTTATTTTTGGGGCTTGCTGTAGTTTTGCTTTGGTGTGTGTTCTTCCCCTTGGAAACATGCAGGTAAAACATGCATAAACTTAACTTAGCATATATATATATATATATATATTCGTGGACAAGGCTTATGTGCTGTCCATAAATTGTTTCGAGGCTAAACATGACGGGTGCTTGGATGTGCATCCCAGGTAGGTTGTTGATAGCCAATGTGTAAGCAGTTAGTTTGTTTCAATTATATACAGGGAAACTGTCCGCAGTGAAAAGTTCGTACGGCAACGTTATTTGGTCAGTTTGGATCATCATACCAATTCCTGTGCTGGGGCTTCCAAAGGTTTGCCCTACAGCCAGGAAGAAACACATGGATGAAACCGACAGTCAGCAATATAATTCCAATTCCACCTGGGGTCTTCCAAAAATGGTAGATGCATTACGTTCTTTCGCTGATTGGAACATTTCGGAGCACCTCCGTCTTTGGAAAAGTTCAAACAGGCGTGGCTCAAAATGTCAGGCCCAACTACCACACATAGGTCATGGCTTTTGTCTTGACCAGCCATATTTTGGCGACTTGTTGGGCACACAATTTAGCCAAATATGAAATTACCACTAAACCTCCATCAAGTCCCCATTTGTTAATGGTCAACCCCACTTAAATCCCACTTAAATCCCATTTAAATCCCATTTAAATCCCATTTAAATCCCATTTAAATCCCATTTAAATCCCATTTAAATCCTACTTAAATCCAATTTAAATCCCACTTAAATCCCATTTAAATCCCATTTAAATCCCATTTAAATCCCATTTAAATCCCATTTAAATCCCACTTAAATCCCACTTAAATCCCATTTAAATCCCACTTAAATCCCATTTAAATCCCATTTAAATCCCATTTAAATCCCATTTAAATCCCATTTAAATCCCACTTAAAGCCCATTTAAATCCCACTTAAATCCCATTTAAATCCCACTTAAATCCCACTTAGATCAATCCTATTAAAATCCCATTTAAATCGTCACCTTATTCCCCAAGAATTGACACCCCGGCCTCCGGTCGCGTTGCCTCCAGCTGCCGCGCCACGGCATCCCAGAAGCTCCGCTCCAGGGGCGCGGGGAGGTGCCCGGCCACGGTCATCAGGGCGCCGGCAGCGGGAAGTAACTCCTCCCACGCCGGAAAAGAATGGTGGAAAACAAGGGAAAACCACCTGGGATTGGAACATCTGAGAACTTGGGTGTTTTGGTTTTTCCAGAACATTGCAGATTTACCCCGTAAAATGTGATATCAAATGGGGAGTTGACCTGCAAAAACGGTGATTTAGCTTTAACCAAGAATGATGACGAGTTGACCTGTAAGAACTGGGATTTAACCATGAATCAATATGGAGTGATTGAAGTAGGGAAGATATATGTGTGGGTTGCCTGCAGGTTTTCCCTTCAAGTCACGAAATACAAAGATCAAATACCATGAAAACAATGTGGATTAAATTGGTTTAGCATGGTTTGATCAACCTAAATGCAGGGTTGACAATCAAATCAAGTCCCAACATGATCAATGTCAGCTAAATACTAGTACGAGTACAAAATCATTGTCAGGTGCTGGACTACACATCTGGTCATGGGTATAGATATGTAAATCATCCAATTGGTGTGGTGGCTCAGGAAGTACTTTTCAGCCGCATCCATCCAATAGCCGCGGGACCTATGGCCGGAAAAGTTAAGTAAGAAGCATCACTTGTGCACATACTGGGCTGCTGCTGAAATTCAAAACCACCAACCTCACCAAACAAGTGATCTTGTCGAAACTTGAAGTGAACCGAGGCCACTCGAAGTCAGTTGGATGAATCTGTCCTCTTATACAGGTTTCTCAGCAGTCAGCCACATTCAAGTTTTCCAAAGCAATCATCATCCATGGCAAACCCAAACACCCTGCATAGCAAAACATCACGACAAACATGTTTGTTTTTGCGGTTTTCCAATGTCCATCTACCCTTTGATAATTTAACACTTTGCCATCGAAGTCTTGGTCCATTTAGTTCAATGATTTACCATGATTTACCTATTAAATATGGTGATTTTCCATAGCAAAGTCTTATATGGTTATTACAATCCCTCGATTCAACCACCGATTCAGGTCTGTGAAGTGCTCCTCGTATGCCAAGTACCACTGCATCATTTCCTCTGCTGGGAGAAGTGGGCCCAACCTGTGCTGAGGTTTGGCAACGGAAAAGCAACCCTTTGCACATCATTTGCCATTTGTTCTAAAACTGCAGGTATTCCTGCTGTCTTGCACATTTTCAACCATACACTTTGACCAGTTCTGCAAACCCAATTTCAAAGGTTGACCACCCACAGTGATCTAAGCAGTCTGAATCGAGATCGAATGGGATCTACGCAATCTAAAACATGAGATCTGATGTGATATACCCCGGTTATTCTCTGATAGTCATCTACTTCCAAAAATTCTTTATTGGTTAAATAAAAAATCCTATCAATGTGTGTATATAATGGATTATAATAGTATATCATATAATATCAGTCCTAAATCCCCAATTTTGTAGATCTGCTGATGCTTAATACCCCCAAAAAATCATGAAAAAAAACCACAGAATCCCAGATCCATCGATCCCTTGACGATCCCTTGACGGCCTCAGCGTCAAGGCCTTGACGCATCCCCCGAGGTCCTCCACGTTCGCTGCGCGAAGCGTCGCCAGCAGCCGCCGGAAGCAGGGCAGACACTCCGCTGACGCGCCCGAGATCAGCTGACTCAGGGACTCCAAGAGCTCGGTCCTGGGGAGCCGCCATGGGGACTATGGAAAATCACCATGCTATTAATGGGTAAATCAACTATCAATGGCCATTTTCAATAGCAAACTGTAAACATTTACCAGAAGGTAATAATGGTTAAGAATGGTTGATCAATGATGGTTCATGCTGGTTACCGATAGTTAATGATGGTTAATGTGGGTAAAACAATGTCATAAACCACCCATGACTGGGAATGGTCAACATACCACCTATAAAGATGGTGACTTGAGGGATGGTTTGTTTTTTGTTTTTTACCCACATTATATAGTATATATTAATGGAAGCTCTGCCATCATGTTTCATTTTGAACCTTTGGTTTGCACCAGTTTTTGTTTGTGTTGATATACTATAAAATGGTATGATATAATATAAAATAATATACTAAAATAAAAACATGTTATGATATAATACTATGTAATATCATATCATAATATAATATAAACTAAGAATATAATATAATATAATACAATATAATATAATATAATAATAAATAATATAAAATAATATAGTATAATATAATATAATATAGTATAATATAATATAATATAGTATAATATAATATAATATAGTATAATATAGTATAATATAATATAATATAGCATAATATAATATAATATAATATAATAAGCTAATCGAATATAATAAAACACAATTTAAACAAATAAATCATAATACAAATACGACTATACAAAATATAAAAACATACAATATAATACTATACAAAATATAGCAACATATAATAAAATAAACTATAACATAATATGATATAAAAATAAATACAATACAATGTAATACAATATAATTAATCTAATGTAATATAAATATAGCAGCGTATTTGATGATAAATAGATGTATTTTACATTTGTCTTCTGCATATCTAATTACAGTATATCTATATAAATACCATGTATCTATCTATCATATCGCTAGACTTATTGGATAGTTGATGGTTCTTCTGATTGATTTGAGGTGATGGGGATATAATGGCATATGCATATTTGGCATATAGAATAATACACATAATCTATGGATACCTATGGAACTGGTGGGTTGGTTGATGATTACTATTTTTTCCCATTTCATTGAGGACAGTGGGAACTCAATGGGAATAGAGTGGGATGATTGTAAAACATCCAACTACAAATCATTTCTTAGAAATTCATGGGCTGTCCTATGGCTTGTGGAGGGAGTTGCTAAATATAAGTTAATCTATACATTGCAATTACATTGCCATATCCTCCGCCAAATGTTTTGCCCAACTGTTGCCAAGTCTTGTCTATGTTCATTCTTTGATATCCGTACTTAGGTAGTCTGTGGTTTTTCAATCTCACATATTTGCTGATTCAACCCGCAATATTTTTGTTCATTTCTCCGATTTTGTTGCTTATAGACCTGCCCCTTCACCAGGCCTTGCCAATCAACATGTTTGATGATATTAGATACATGCGATTAAACCATTCCTTACAATATCATTTTTTCCTTGCGGAAATCGGACATAATCGGACTGCGTCTTGATGTGTCCTGATGTGTCCTGGTAAAATCCGAAAATAAGAGTCGCTAAAAACAACAGCCCTTACATCCAGTAATCTAGGTCAGGTGAAATTTCATTTGTTTGATGATTTTGGGAGCTTCCAATCCCAGCTTTGGCACGGTGGAATCCCCATTCTGAATTTTTGACAGAACCCAGTTTAAAAAAAAAATATTGGAGGGCTTCTGAATCCTGGCGAATTGCCATTTTTTAGCGGTTCAAATCCCAAGTTTTGATTTTCACTGGCAAAACCCCAGGCCAAAAGCATCCAAAAGCCATGGCATGCCATGGCCACCCAGCTCTCCTGGCCGCCCCTGGCACGTCCGCCAGCGCCAGCAGCCGCTGCGCCAGTGCCTCGAAGGGCTGCGGCGCCGCGGCGCTGCTGCTGAGCAGCGGCCGCAGCAGCGCCGCTGCGGCGCTGGCAGCGGGGCTAGCGGTGCCGAGGCAGTCGAGGGACAGGTGGAGCAGCGTTTCCTGTGGTGATATCAACAATAGGCTGTAATGGGAGTTGATGGGAGTTGATGGGACTTAATAGGATTTAATGGTGGATTAAACTATCCCAAGAGCAGTTCCCAACCCTCAACGACCCCGGCAGCTCCTTGTACTCTTCGGCCACCTCTTGGCCTTGCCGCTGCAGCACCGCCGCACAGGTCAGAAAAGCCTGGCCTTGCAGAGCTGGCGGCGGCTTCGATGCCAGCAGCTGTAGCACGTGGCACAGCTGGCTGCGAAGCAACACGGTGGCTGCAGTGGAGGGTGCCTCCATCCTTGGAAATGTGTGTGGATTTTGACAATATCCTTCACCAGTTGGTAACTATTGGTATCTATGAAACATTGCAAATATCGAGATTATACTTGGCTAAACCATCTACTCGCTGGTGTAGGATTTCTTCCATCCACAGTACGTCATGGGTTTTACCAGAAAAAATGGTTCAACCCATTAGCCATGAATAATAGCTGGGATTAAACCATGCTTAGCAATTGGCAAATAAACGGAAATAACATTCAAGTCTGGAGTTTGTAACGATACTGGAAATGTAACCATAAGCATCTGGGATACATCCAGCGCATTCAATGGGAACATTAAATTTCCCCTAATGTTAAATACCACCTCAAAAACACTGGTTTGGTAGCGGATCTATGAATGAATTGGGGGGGTGGGATTACTTTGGGAGCTGAGTAGTGTTGACCAATCATCTAAGGGATATTAGGGCAGCTGTGGCACTGATGACTTTGGATGAAACACATCTATGAAATAAGAGTTGGGTTCAGGTTTCTGCGGTTTCCACTCGTTCCATTGGGAAAAAAACATCTCCAATCGCCATTTCTTAACAGTAAAGCTACCAGTCTCCAGTTGTTGGGGTGCAAGACGGTGCCCAGTTCGTTCTCTAAGTTGGTTCCTATCTAGGTCACCTATGGTTTATGGCGACTATACCAGACCTGCCCTATGATTCGATGATTGGATAGGTTGGTAAACAACCAAACTTAGAGGGCACCAAACTTCGCAACTTCGGAATTCCATGATCCCCCTATACCTTTGAAAAAAACTATCGATAATGCTTTTGCCATGCGTTTTCCATAGGATTTCATGGGTTTCACGATGTTTCAAGGCCTTAATCAACCCAACGTTTGCGACCAAGGCGTCAAGGCTTCCCAGGCCCCCAACGCTGCGCGGGGCGTCCGCTGCAGCTGCTGCTGGACGAAGAGAATCAGCTGCTGGATGCCCGGCTCCGCGTCCTCCAACTGGATGCTGAAGGCCAGGCAGATTTTGATGGAATCCTGAGGGAACAAACAGAGAAATGTGGTGGTGGATATGTAAATACCTATTACTATATAATTAATATATGTATGTAAGTATGTATGTATATATGCTTATTATGTATAACATGGAGGGTGTGAGCTTCCTTATTATAGATGAACATATAATAGACAATGCAAATGTGTGTGTGTGCGTGTGAGCGTTTCACCTCATCGTATAATACATGAAACAGCGAATCAACATCTCAAAAACGCTGAACTTTGACACACACACACACATATATATATATATACATATCAGTAATTGTGTTCGCACTGGCATCTGACAGAAAAAACGTCAGGGTGCAATGATGTATATTTGAACAACCTGTGTGTGTTTCAAGACGAGGGCCAAGTCTGTGGATACTAGGCCTTTGACCATTGGAGGTCCATTGGAAATTACTGGCGCTGTATTTTTGGATATTGTTTGCACGCATGCAAACGCGCCGCCGGAAATGTATAAGAACAACACGTTCGACTATTACGAAGAACAAATAGACACCAGGCATAAGCATGTATCCTCTGGTGAACTAACATAGCAATGGAAAATCACCATTTTTAATGGGAAAATCCACTATAAATAGCCATTTTCCATAGCTTTTTGTAAGTTCACCAGAGGGTAGCGACATGACAAGCGACAATAGCAAGGTGTCCATCAATGGCGACAACAAACCGGAGGATCATCCCCCGAATGATCAGTGAATAGCCTCCCACCAAGTACCCTCAGCTACTAAACAATATTCACTGATAACTGGTGTATCAGGTCATAAACTGAATAGCAAACTCACAAAGCAGCCCCAATTCACGTTTATTATCAGGTATAGTGATGCTTGGGGTGATTTACAATGCAACCCCAAAAATGTTTGGTTACATTTGGATGGTTTATTTTATGAAGTTTCCATATTTAAGCAGTAAGAAAGTGTTAAGCATGCAGCATACACCTTTCCAACCACACAGGCATGGGATCACTTAGACCCATTCACTTAGTTTCATCTAATTTCTGATTGTTAATTCATGTTAATTCCCCTTCTTTCCTGGTGAAACCACCCTATCCACTGCGTTCCCCCCGTGACTGGTCGTCACCTCCAAAGCTTCGCTATGCATCTCTCCACTGGAGCACTGAAGCAAGGCCAGCAAGGCAGGGATGAGCTGCGAGGGCTCTACGAGACCTGATCGCTGGATTGAATCCATCCCAAGACATCGTGCCACGTGAAGCCTTTAAACGAATATATAGACAAATATGGATGGATATCCATGATACACATTGCCATAAGTCCATTGTCCTCATATCCATTCAATGATACCAAGATGATATACACACATATATCATATGCATATATATATATATAAAAACCAAATGTCCAGTATCAGTTATCAAGCATCATCCCTTCCCCACCACAGCCTTTAAACAACCCCCTCGTGAGTCACCACTGGTGGATTTTGTAGCCCAATAGCTTGACCCAAGTTTGTTTTGATTCAGCCCAGTAAAATCCACACTGCCGTTGCAGTTATGAAAAAAACAAATGTCTGCTTATATCTTCATGGATAATTATAGATGTTTATAGATGATTATAGATGGTTATAGATGACATGGATTCTGGATGACTATAGATAATGTATATGCATGTACGTATATATATATACATATATATATATATATGATGTGTGAAGACCTGTGAGGGCGTTCCACTTATATCTTAATCCGATGCCATGTCCCTTGATCCCTTGTTGAAAGAAACATGGGGGTCAACCCCTTTGTATCTTCGGGTATGATGTGTCAATTCGGGTTTGTCTAAAACGTGGTATGCTATCCACATGGTCAATTTAATCAGTGGATTTGGGGGTATCCTGTTTTCAAATAAAGCAATTCTGCTAGTTAGTTGCTATATATAATTTGACCAACATCCATGACTGAGACCCACCGTCGCCAGCATATGCGTCGCCGCGGCAACTTGCTATGTCCTGCGAAGCGGGGACGGTGAGAACACCTTCAAAGCGAAGCCCATTCAGTTGGAAGTACTGGACCTCTTCATTTTGATTTCACAAAAAAAAGGGATCTATTCAATCTATTGCATTGGGGAGAAAACGTGAACGACAAATGTAAAATGATCTAAATCAAAACTAGGATTTGTATGACTTGGATATAAATATGAATGCAAACCGACAAACATTCTATCATGACTCAACCAATGGTGATCTGACATGACTTGACACCACCACCAACCGATTTCTTTGGGATACTGGCCAGTGACTGGCGCCACGTTCCAGCAATGGCTGCTCACTCTGGATTTGTTGATACCTTCTGGTAAACTAACATACAGTAACTATGGAAAATCACCTTTTTCAATGGGTAAATCCACTATAAATGGCCATTTTCAATAGCTATGTTTGTTTACCAGAGGGTATTTTTGGCACCAACCTTGCCACTTTTCACCAGCCTCAAGAAACGACACCACCAATCAACCACCAAACCATCTCTTCTGGTGAGGTGATCATAGTTTGATCACCTTCGTCAGATAAATCAATGGACAACCGTTATGCCGAACCTTAGATACTCAAAAAAACAACTCCCCTTAAAACAAAAACTCACGCCACATGTATGACATGTCCCCCATCAAAATCGCAAAACAAACAACACATTAATCTGGCTGGTGGTTTCAACCCCTCTGAACAATATAGTCATTTGGGATGATTATTCCCAATATATTGTGGAAAATAAAAAATGTTCCAAACCACCAACCAGTAACCCATTAAGATCATTAAGTAAGCAACCCATCACCAAGGACCACCCTCTCGAACCCTCCGCTCCTGCAGTGCCAAGCTGCTCCAAAATTCCACTGCCAGAGTCGCAAGCTCCAGGTGTTTGCTGAGTGCAGCCAGCAGCAGTGCTGAGATTTGGCCTCTTGCTTGAGCCACCCCGAGCGCGGCATTATGCGAGTGAAGTCCAGTAATTATCTTTGTGAGTGAAGTTCAGTATCCTTACCAGCTATTCCATGTTCACTGGCTCATGCCAAAGACCACATGCATACATGTCATCCATGTTAGCAAATGTTTGTACGTTCACCTACCATGCACCAAGCTTTACCCACGGTTTAAGGACAGACAAAAACAACATGGTTTTGTCTGACTGAACATGGGTTAACATGGGTTAACATGGGTTACCAGAAGATATCATGGTTGATCGGTTGATCATCATTTCCCCCACTGATATGAATGGGCAGAGATTGGGGGCCGGCAGGCAATTTGGAGGCGAAAAAGGAACAAGTCATGCTCAAATGTTGATTTGCGCTGATGGCGAAACCCTTGTTACACCCAGTGGACCAAACATATCCCAACAAAATATCCTGGTTGTTGGTTTCAACCCCTCTGACAAATATTAGTCAGTTGGAAAGATTATTCCCAATATATGGGAAAATAAAAGCCATGTTCCAAACCACAGACCAGTATCTGAAATCACCAGCCAGTGACTCATGTGCTCAGCCAGAAGGATTGGAGATTCTGTAGCCAGCCTCCCTCAGCAGCGGAGGATGCAACTGCAGAGCTCCTGCTCAATGCGTAGGCAACAACCGGACCAGCCTCTCAATCACATTCAAAAGAAACACTCTTTGTGGGGAGGATTAGCTGTTGCTTCATCCTCTTTAGAGGGTTTGATTCATTTGGAACATTTTGACAAGCTTTAGCTTTAGATATTTACTGTGAGCATGCCCCCAATGGCCCATGAGATGTTTTCTGCAGTCCTTCTCCCAAACAATCCGTGGGCCGTGGGATAAAATATCTCTCCAGTTGTAATAAGAATCAAGCAGAAATCGATCAAGCCAAGGCGTGCCCAGCCATCATACCCCCTCTTCCACTCTCCTTTGCATAAGCATCTTCTTGCGCAAGGCGAGCATCCGCGGCCAAGTGAGCCACGAGCAGAGCTTCTACCACTTGACTCCTGGATGCGCGCTCTGGATGCACCGCCATTTGCAGGATGTTTGGCTGTAAAGGTGCAACCCTTTTAAATCCCATGGCTGTTTATCATTCTTTTCATTAAAACTGCAATGCCATAACTGAGGTCTCCCCCAAATATTGAGAGACACCGTGAGACACCAACATCTGACCTCCTCACTCCTTCCCATCACTCCCCCCATCTCCCCAGCAAGTCATCCGCACCATGCAGCCAGCCCAGCATCGCAAAGACCGCCTCCGCAGCCCAGCACGCCTCCTCCGTCGCGCAGCTCAGCAGCTGGGCCCCGCAGGTCCGCAGCAGGGCCGCCTGTGTGTGGACGCCGAGGCTGGCGCCGTCTTCGGCCAGGCTGCGCAGGGTGTGGAGGGATGCATGGCAGTGGCGCTGGCTGCCAGACTCCGCCCACCTCACCAGGAAATAGCAATCATTAAATATCATCAAATATGCATCCGAATCCATTCAATTTATAATCATGAACACTGATTGATAATCCACAAAATCTACAAATTTGCTGCTGATTTTGAAGGTATGAACTAACTGCCAAGGAAAAATTGCCAAACAAATCCCACAATCATATCTCCAACGTCCTATGTTTTATGGGGTGCCAGGCAAATGAAGTGTCCAGGAGGGTCAGCTGCAAAAATACACACATCAGAAGGGCAGGAATAGAAACATGAATTGGTGGAGAAAAACATAGAAAAGTCATAGTTTCCAGATGTCTCAGCATGGAAGAAAAGCGTGATTTGATACGAAAAATAAACAAACGCGGCTTCCAGTTTCCAGACGTTTCCCGCAGATTTTCCTGCAAAGAAGTGCCCAAAGATGGCCCCAGCCCACCCCAGCCTCTGCAGTTCCGGCAGCAGCTCCGGCCACTGTCCCTGCGGTATCTCCCAGCATCCCATCCTGGCTGTGCAAAGCGCTGCCAGACGGCGGAGCTTGGGTTCTGCATCCTGCAGGGCTAACCAGCAGGCCTCAAGGACGGCATCTTGGAGATCTTGGAGGAACGGTTGGTGTTTGAAAACCTAAAAATTGGTTCTGAACTTCTTAACCATTAAAACATCAGAAAGACATGCTGTCAGGTCCCCATTTTGCCACGTTTCTGGGAATGCAGTGTTTCTACTATATCATGTTTTATCCTCTATGCTCAAATACCTTTGATTAGATCATGTTCCTTAATGTCATGAAAGGATTCACATGCAGAACCTTAAACACATTGCAAACCACTTCAGTCAGAAAACTTCCTTGATGACTTTCCTGTTCCTTCTTCGATATGTAATGGCAAAGGTAATTGTTCTTTTCCTTTGAATCCCAGATGCCCAGAGATCCCCAGAGATCCCCAGAGATCCCCAGAGACCCACAGAGATCCCAAAGGAAAGGAGCAAGAAAAGTGAAAGAATACTAGATGTAATACATAGCTCCCAACGGTTGGGGTCAAAAGAAAAAACAAAACTGACTGTGCCTCTCTCTCTCTCTCTCTTTCTCTCTCTCGCGCCATTTCTGCAATACCGACTAAATCACTCATTTGGAGGGTTCCAATGGGGGTACCCCAAAAGCTGGATCGTTTATGATGGAAAATCGAATCTATATATAAATGCTACCCCCATTTTAGGAAACCTCCATTTATTCTCATTTATTCTCATTTATTCATGTGCAATCAATTCATTTGGACAACACTGCTTGCCAAAGAGCATTGTGCATCTCTTGCCTGACCTCTCCATAGTTCAGCCACTCACCAAACAATGTCCTGAGCCCAATAAAGGACCTCAATTGCCTAGATGGTTTCAATGGATTGGTTCAAGTTACAGTAAAGGATATCACCTGAAGAAAACCATGCGTTTGTTGAACCAACTCTGTGATGGTTGGAAGTCCATGAAACAAGAGCAAGTATGAACGACTGCTTGCTGTATGTTTCAACCATCAATACTTCAACATAGTAAAGCACCTTTTGGACCCCCAAAAAGTATGTCGACGTCAAGTTTCCGCATAAAACATCAAGGGTGCTATTCTCTGCATCCAAATTTAAGCTCATACCAGCAATGCACTGTATGGATCTGTATGGTATGTTTGTGTGCATGTTGCTATTTTTGTGGGTGGCGGGTAGAGGTACATAAATAATATATAATTGTGTGTATGCATACAGGTAGATAGGCATGCATGATCATGCATGTGTGCATGTAAAACCTTGCATGTGGGCATAAAACAACAATTACATACATATCTATAGGTATGTGCATATATATATATATGTATGTAGTATGTATGTATGTATGTATGTATGTATGTATGTATGTATGTATGTATGTATGTATGTATGTATGTATGTATGTATGTATGTATGTATGTATGTATGTATGTATGTATGTATGTATGTATGTATGTATGTATGTATGTATGTATGTATGTATGTATGTATGTATGTATGTATGTATGTATGTATGTATGTATGTATGTATGTATGTATGTATGTATGTATGTATGTATGTATGTATGTATGTATGTATGTATGTATGTATGTATGCCTGTATGCCTGTATGTGTGTGTGTATGTGTGTATGCGTGTATGTGTGTGTATGTGTGTGTGTGTATGTGTATGTGTGTGTGTATGTATGTATGTGTGTGTATGTCTGTATCTGTGTGTATGTGTATGTATGTATGTGTGTCTGTATGTATGTATGTATGTATGTATGTATGTATGTATGTATGTATGTATGTATGTATGTATGTATGTATGTATGTATGTATGTATGTATGTACGTGTGTGTATGTATGTATGTATGTATGTATGTATGTATGTACGTATGTGTGTATGTATGTATGTATGTACGTATGTATGTATGTACGTATGTACGTATGTACGTATGTACGTATGTACGTATGTACGTATGTATGCATGCATGCATGCATGCATGCATGCATATATGTACATAAACACTGGGTGTGTTATTATTGTACATGTATCATCATTTATCTATGATTGCACCATACTACACCACAACTGCCAAACTTTCGATTGCCCGGGCCTGGCTCCAACCACCGGCTCGAAAATGTTCTTCAGCAGGAGGGCTGCCACTTGCCTGGGGAAGGGACCTCCATGTGACCTCCTGCAGGATCAGGATCCATTTAAGGCCGTGAATGCACCCATCTATAAAATTTAGGATCATCCGTTCATATTCTATTGTTATCCCACTATCCCTTCTAAACCATATAAGACTTGTTAATTAGCATATGCATCCGAAGATCGGATATATTATCTACCTGTATGGCGAAGTCACCTAAAACAATCTATTGGGAAGTAACAAATTTTGAACATGCTGCATACAGTGATTTATATGATATGCTTCGTAACCCCAAACGATTGGATAGTGCGGATGCTTGCTCCCAGTTTTGCAGAGAGACTCACCATCCCGAATTCCTTTGCCCATGCAAAAGCTATGGCTAAGGCGGCTAAGGCCGAAACTGCTTGGTATTCTCAAGCCATCTCGAGAAAAAAGGAAAACACACAATTATTTTTACCTTGATATATTTTGGTCAACTGGGACAAGCATTATGACTGTTGATAGACAAGTACAATGATAAAATACAACAAATGATGAGGACAATTAAACTGACAAAATTGAAACCTGATAAAATCTGACCCTCCTTGGAAGATGATGTTCCATTTCAACATAGGGTCACAGCAAGCTTGCTATTGACCAACACTATAAACCCTTTTCCATCGTGTTTTGCCATTCATCTTCACCCTGGAATGGCTTGAGATACCCTCCAAAAACAGCGTTGCTCCCAACACGCCAGCTACAAAAGGGGTAAATGTCAAGGTCAAATCATCAATTGACACACCAAAGAGTGACTATAATGCACCTAGGTTGGAGACACTATGGGAAAAAATGCGTTGTTTCTAAATTGTTTCCGTAGAACTGTAGGATGTGCCATGCATTCCGCATGGTTGGCACCTTGTGGTCGGCTCCTTGCTGCTGTCTGCCATCCATTGCGCAAAAAATCTCGCGGAGGACACCGGCCAGGTGCTTTGAGCAGCCAACAGGAACCTGCAGTGCCCCCACCAGTTGTAAGTCGAAGTCGGCGGGGTTTTTAGCCCCTCCAAGTATAGATCTAAGCCGCCATGAACCTTAGTCAGGGACTAGCAGTGAATGGGATCCTGGACGCCCTAGTGGCCACCAATCCCAAAACTACGCATTGCTCTGGGAGACTCATCAAACCAAAAAGGCATGGAAGGTAAAATGAAGTCAAATTATTTACCACATATTTATAGAAAAAGAAAATGTATAGTATTAGACACAATCACAAAGACCTTGCCAATTTTACAATTGTCCATGCTTCACTCGCTTAATTTCATGTTTGCTGGTTAAATCCCATGTTCATCCATTTTCGCCGGTGAAATGCCCATTTTTGCTAGTGAAATCATTGAAATCCGCATAATCCCCATGACCCCTGGTGAAATCCCCAAGTTCACCGGGTGCCCAGCCACTCCTCCGCTTCGCGCTGGCCCGCGCTGCCCGACGCCGCAACGAGGGCAGCATGGAGCTGAGCGTCCAAGGTGGCCATGGCGCGCCGGCGCTGGCGCTGGTTGAGCCACAAGGATGGTATGGAACTCATGGATATCCTAATGCCACTGGGATGATATGGAAATCATAGTGGGTTCTAGCATTACACGCACAGTATATATATATAATCATATGTAGGATATATATATATATATTTATGCAATATGTATATATATATATCTCTCTCTGTGTGGGGGCTACTTGGATATCTCGATATTCACTAGATCATGGGGATTCAGCCATCTGACGGAAGCTGACCCCCCAACAGTTGTCGTATGAGAGGTTTGCCGAGCACCAACCGCCACACCATGGGCGATGTTTGGGATGATCCAATTGACATGAGAGGGGAGAGCTGATGAGGGCATTTAACCATCATGTGATTTATGCAACCAAGCATAACCACAAAATGGGGGACATCATGGGATATTATGGACATATCACGGTGGTATTAATGGATATGTATATAAATATACGTGTGTTCATAACATACGTATATTCACACAATGTATATATATAATATTATATATTTAATATATATTATATATAATATTATATATATAATATTAAATATATATATATATATGTAATTATATATACACGTTTGCCGGGGCATATTCCATATAATTATTCCAAATCTGTGAAATGCTGAGGAGGCTCAATATTCCTGGATAATTCTGGATAACTGTCTGAGTCTGGTCTCTCTCTCTCTCTCTCTCTTTCTCAAATGGTTTATGTCATAATGTTGTTTTTCAAGAAGAAACTTGGAATCCACAATAGTAAACCACGCACAATTCATCGTTTATCAAAATAACAGTGTATAAATATATATATATGTGTGTGTGGCCCCCACAAACGAGATGATTTATCATAGCCCCGAAAGGACAAAACATTTGTCACATGGGCGTTTACAACAACATCCTCCTCCTCATGCATTGTCCCCGTGTTTTGTTTGTTGAATCCCCAATACTATTTATATATCATTCCAGCATTCCAGCATTTGGAAGGATCCCACCGTGGGATTCCGCGAACCAAGCAGCTTCATGTTGGATGTGCCCGAGGCTTCCTTAGGGGAAACTGCCAGCGATGTTCGCCAAGTGCGCTGAAGCATCCCAAAAACAAAGATGTCAGAAATCCAGTCAGAAAACCCACAACTATTGGTGTGATCAGTGTGATCCCATACCTTCGAGAGTCATGCAAATCTGGAAACAAAAACGAAATCACACCAATACTTTGAAGATCTCTGAAGTCGTCCTTCCAGTCACCAATTCGCAGTGAATTTTCACCAGCAATGTGGAAATCTGAGGGTCCTCTTTGCTTCCTCTTTGCTTCCATTCACCAATCATGCAACACCCATTCCAGGAACCCCATTCCGTGGAAGCACGCGTTGGTTTTTTTGGGGTCTAGCGGATGCCGCTCACATCACGTGTGGGAAATTTTTCGCCAGTTGAATCCCCCGGTTTTGATGGCTAAACCTTATTGAGCCACCATGAGCCACCATTTTTTCCCTAGCCATATCCCCAATAAATCCCATTGACTCCCATTGTATCCCCAATGACTCTCACCATCCTCATTCTTGCTTTAATCACCATTTTTTTCTCCTTCGACCCCATGGTACTCCATGGTTATTTCCGAGCTTTCCACATCATTCCCATATACCTAGAACCTCGAACACGGCACTTTTCGCATAAAGTAGCCTTTAAATGCCTTTACCAGTGTTACGGCGTAATTTGTTTGGCTACGGCATGCTACGGCAGTTTTCTGTTTTTCCAACGGCATTTTTGGAACTCAACTTGGAATGCATTATTTGGGGTCTGCCATCACATTGGCCAAAGATTTTGGCCCATTTCTCCACGTCCATCATGTGGTCAAGGGATGTCAAGGGTAGTTCAAGTCAATTAAAGTGGTTTGACCAAACCGGTGACAGCATGCTTTTTCAAAAGGTTGTTAGCAGTCCATGACGCTTGCCACTCAGAATCCAAAAAGTAAAAATACATGCAAAAAAAAGTTACGGCGTAAATTGGCGTACTTACGGCGTAAATTCCCGTAATTACTCTGTTTTTCATGGGTGTCGAATGTCTTGAAATCAAACGTTTGAAGAGTCTTAGCTTTGGGATGAGTAAAACGTTCTTATTCTCCCATGTATCATGGGCATCGGCTTGGAAATGGTAGCCACTGAAGGCTGGGCCCGCAAACCTATATCAAGCATTCAGATAAAATGCAAAGGGATTCAACACAGATTGGAAAATGATGGTTCACTCGCAATCCGATTGACGGCATTTTTGTTGAGCCACGGCATTTATTTTTCATGACGGCGTTTTCCAGAAGTGACGGAAACAAAAAACAGCCACAACGGCATATTTCAGCCACCAGGTGGATCTAGGTATGCCCATAGTTTCCCATAGTTTTTCCTCACTACTTGGAGGATCATCCAACTTAGTCAATGCTTACCCTGGTTACGAAGTCCCCTAATTAAGTAGATTATCCCATTTATAATCACATAAAAAGTATATCCCACAATAAGTAGATGGATTATCCACTATTTACAAGTGATTATCCCCTACCCTCTGGTAAACGTTTACATAACTATGGAAAATCACCATGTTTAATGGGTAAATCCACTATTTCTAGGGCCATTTTCAATAGCTATTTTGACATAACCAGAGGGTAAGTGGCTTCACTAACCCTACAAAAACCACGCCGCCGAACCACGCCGCGGCGCCGTTCCCGCCGTGGAGATGTGCTCCGAGATGTCGGAGGCGGGGATCATCACCTGTGCCGCCGAGACGCAGTAGTTGGGCACGAAGGCGCACCTTGGGAAAACCCGAGGCCATGGCCATGGCCATGGCATGGCCAGAAATCTGGAGAAATGGGGAACGATTGATGGGATTTCATCACATATCAACTGATTGATGGGATTTAACTGGATTTCACTGCATTTGGAGATTTCACTGGGGATTTCCCATAAAAGCTATGCTGAAAGCTATGGAAGTCATCTCGTTTTGAAAACAGTAGACCATCGAAGGAAATGGGCCATGGCTTCCATAGCTATGTTAGTTTACTGGAGGGTAAGTAGTGAATAACCATGGTAAGTTGCCACTTGTTGAAGAGGGAATTACCCCCAGTTATGATGGCATGTACATGGCTTATGAACCAGGTATCAAGTGGTATGCGTAAGTGGTATAAATATAAATATACAAATAACCAAATAATCAATATATATAATATATATATAGTCAGTATATATGTGTGTCTGCGCAATGTATGTGCACTTTCCAAACTGGGATCTAAGGTTATAAAGTAGAATGTGAAAAATATGTACGATCGTTTGTCGATCCAATACTGTAAAGTTGTATCTTAATCACTGCTCCCACATGCGGATTTGAACACGCAAACTACAGTATATTTTCAACCAAGATGGGTATCTACGGTGTTCATGTGGTAAACCTAGCAAGAAACTCCAATTTCTTCAGGTTGTTTAGACACATGCACATGGTACAATGAGGATGAAGCAGGCATACCATCACACCCGTGGAGTCTCATGTGACACGGGGAGCAAACCTAGTGCGTGAGGAAGCGACTACTGCCAAGCCAAACTGCCAACATGTTTTTCTCAACACATGATGCCCTGTGGAAAACAAATATATCAAGGCAAACGCAGTGGACTTCCCTATGTCTGCTGGGCCAATCTGGGTCATTTACCAGATTGTGTATGCATGGTCTTTCTATTGGCAATAGCCAACAGTTATATATCTCAAAAAACTGAACATCATGTGCAGACAGCGTATGTAAACCTATAAAACTCATGGTCCCATAAGTCTTCAATCCAATTTGAAGGGATCTTTCTAAACCCAACCCCTTGCATCCTGCCATCTGTGAGGCGCTTCAAGTACTGCTTGGTGTCTGGGTCGTTGTTGATGACCTGCCAAGGCTGTGGTCGCTGATGCCTTCGTGTTTCAGATGAGGCAAACAAATGTATGTTTTGGGAGGTTTAGTGGTAGTTTAGTAATGCTTGATATGATTGTAGATGGTTGATTAGGGATACACATGGGATCATCATAAAAGGACATCAATGGATAACTGCCATCTGGCAATCAAACATGGGAAATCCCATAGAATAATGGTGCAGTAAATCGCTGGGAAAAACATCGAACTATAGCTGGGTGTAGTTTTTTCATTGCCATGTTTGATTACCTAAATGGTGTGTGGTTACAACCCATCCAGCACAAGGAGGGAAATTTGAGCCCCACTGGAGGCTACTTGGTTTTCATGATGGTACAGTTGGATACAGTTGGCATGTCTACCAATTGTCCCGAGAATGCATTTAAACCTGTCTAATGATATATATATATATATATATCTGTGTGTGTGGGTGTGTATGCCTATTAAACTGATATGCCTGCAATAATGATTAAAAAACAATAATAATCCAGCTCCATCTTTTTTCATTCCTGTTCACAATAGAAACAACATCCGCTGTAGGCTACGATTTGTTCCAAACCATGCCGGTATCCATCGGCCTTGGCCACGTTGTTAATGAGCTTGATGATAATCTTGGCATTCACATAGGCCGAGGCTGCCTGTGCCAATGTGTTCTAAAATCATCAGCCCCTGGCTAAGCGTCCAAAAACAGCCCAGCCCAGGATAAACACATGTCTACATATATACAATATATGCACGTTTATCTCCGTTCTTGCTTCAGAAGGGGGACGAAACGCACAATCATTCGTGTTGCATCCTGCCTTTCCGCCGATTAACACCACACGCTTCTGGCAGGATTGGCGGTCGCCAGGCGACTTCTTTTTGAGCTCTAGGTAGCGGTGGATGACGAACCTCCGAGGCACTCGGATCTCCAACAAAAGTGAAAGGACACTGATACATGGAATATATCTAATATGTATTAATGTAAGTATAGAATATGTGTATATATATATACTTACTTACTATATGTTATACCTATATATGTATATAATTTAAATATGCACATATATAATTTATCTTATATCATGCATTAATCAAATATATCAAATGATATATACATATATTATATGTTTGTAATATGTGTATGATTAATGTATTATGTATAAAACAAACATAAATATGAATGTATGTATATATATATATGTACCAAATGTATTTATATTATATTATGTAATCAAATTCTCATGTGTAAATTGCATTGTATATATATATATATATATACATCTTTATTTGTTAATGTTATAAATATATATAAATATATATATATATATACAATATTTATACTATGTATGCAGCGAAAACAATATATATATATATATACAAATTATATTATCAAATTATGTAATCAAATATATGTTTTGTACTGAGGATTTTGTATATATACATATATACAGCACATCTTTGAATTGAATGAATATACAAAACATGGAAAACTGGTGATGTCACAAACCATGGTGAGGATAGAACGGGAATGTAATTGAAAACCATGGAAACATGGAGACATGATCAAAATATGAAAGAACAAATGGTGGTTAAATATCAACATATGGCAACATTAAAAATAGACCATCAAGAAACCCGGATTTTTAACACTGATGGCACTGATGGGTGGTTTAAACCATCAAACTGTGATGGTTTGCGGATTTAACCAGCACATCTTTGACAATCCATATGGAGCACTGGATTAACCAGGCACGGGGGGTATCACAAAGATGTCGCCATCAAATTTAGCTGACAAAGCACTGGAATAACTGGGGTGTAACTGGTGTAATGAACTCTACAACTAGCCCACGGGGAATACTATGTGGCCATCATGGGGACATACATGGATATAGATATAGTGTGTTGTGTTTGTCTGGGGCAATGATGATCCAGCTGGCATTAGCATCCATCTGGGCAAATTCGATATCCGGGACATTAACCACCAATCAAAGCATCAACAAATTAATAAACAAATTGGGATGAATGATAATTTTGGGATGTTGACCAACCAAAAACATATAGAACAGTATAGAACATCTCAATGGTCTCATCTACGATCTACATACCTCGCAAAAGATACCCAGTTTGGCTTTGTCTGGCGGGATAGCCAGTATTTACTCCGTCTATGCCTTGAACATACATAGTGAACATTCAGAAGTAAACTTACCATTGGCCAAGGTTTACGCAGGAGAATTCAGTGAAAACAAACACATCAAACATTCTTGTAAATTCAATGGATTGGTTTAAGGGAAAATCTACAGGAAACCATAGATTTTCCCATGAAATATGGGGCTTTCCTGTAAATTGTCCCTTAAACCAATCCATTGATAAATACATGTTTTTTATGCAGGGCGTGCTGTACAAATTCAATCAACATCTGTAACTTTCTGGACGAAGGAAAATGTGGCTTGAAGGGATCATGTCCAGTAATTCAAACCTCTTTTTACTTCGGGGATTCCCCAGCCATGTTTTACCAAAGGCATCCTCAGATCACTATTAGTTATATACATATATATATATATACATGTGTGTGTGCATATATATATAATATTATATATATATTATATTTATTTATGTTATCTCATGAAGTCACCATTCAATCACCATGCCAAGTGGCAAAATGTTCAGCAACTGCCGCTTGTACTCGTGAATGCGTTTGATCCTCGGGGCAGCGCCATGAGCATCTCTGGAATCCATCCCATGCCTCTGGATTTCGTTGTTTTGCTGGTTCAGTTCGCTTCAGGTCCACTTCTAATTTGAAAACTGCGGATACCCGTTTAAACAAATTGATGTTCAATGGGAACGTGTGCTTTATCCATAGAAAGCGAAACAACACACATTGGAACAAACAATATTGCAGCAACTAGTCAATCATGTCAATCTCAACCATTCACTCAAGTCTGCCTTTCTATCGTGGAAGATCATCCAGAATGCCCCCAGCCCTTCCAGATGGTCAATCTTTTCCGCCCCCGCCGAGTTTGGGTCGTCAATGTCGCTCACAAGCGTGGCTTTTGCAGCTTGAAGACCCGTTCGGCGTTTCCACCTCAGAAATTCAGCGTTTCGTGGTGCTTTTCGCTGAACCGGTAGATTCCCAGGATTTCAAAACGGGTCCCAACTAAACCCCCCAAAAACGCCCAACATGTTTTTTTCTTCCAGATATGTTTGTTCTGTTTGTTCTTGGTGGTTTCAACCCCCCGAAAAATATGCTGGTCATTGATCCATGACGATGTTTGAAACCACTCACCAAATCATCATTGGTCATATAGCCTTTAAATCCCCATGTTAGATGGCTCATGATGGCTACCCATGTTGGATGACTATAATGAACCAGGAAGATCACCCACAGGTTGCTATAGCATGCTATAGCTATATACCCCCATGATATCTCCACCAAATCTCATATTTTCCGTGTTAAATCACATTTTTTGATGCTGAAGGGGTCAAAGATCTCGCCTTGTTTTCCAGTAGGGGAACCAGTGCGAAAACCTAGCCCCGAAATGCCCCGAACGATTGCCTGCAAATCACCACCATTGTTTCCAGTGTCAAGAACGCAAACATAGGTGTCCCAAGTCCCAAACAAAAACATATATATATATATAAAACGTGTCCTACTCATTGGACATTTTTCCTACAGTTTTGGGAATCACTGTAAATTATGAAGTACAGTATTTGAACATGCCAGGGAACACGGAACAAGATGGAACAAGTATATACAGTATTTGCCTATTTACCCAACCGTGCTGGATTGTGGGATGTCAAGACCCATCTTCAAATACATGTGTTGCAAACTGAACCCTAGTTCCTTCAGACTTTACACGTGTGTTTGAGCCAATTCCACATCTGTTCTCTTGAAATCACATGGGTTCTTCATTGATTCAATCATGTTACCATCTGGTAATTCAACATAGCTATTGAACATCGCCATTTAGTTTGCTGATTTACCCATGAAACATTGTGATTTTCCATAGCAATGTTACTTTACCATAGGGTAAATCCATCATTTTCCCAGGTCTTTTGCCCAATCCAACCGCAACATCCTTATAATTCGGCATCTACCAACAGGGCACGCAGGAAGAGCTGCATCTGCTCGGGCTGAAGGTTCAACAGCTCCAGCTGTTGGGAAATCGCGTGGTGCTGCACCATGGGATAGTTCGATCCATACATTACCTGCTAGGATTTATCATGGGAATATGGGGTTAAAGCAGCAAAAATAGGATGATCTGGGCAAAAGTGATGGAATTCTTTGGCGAACGTCAAAGTGCTTTTGTAAGACGGATGTTCAGTTATCTGGCAAAATAGGTGTTGATCCGCATCTATATAGAGAATATAAAGTTGGTTGGTGTTTTTTCCCGGTAAACATGTGTCTAAAAAAATGCGGCTGGTGAAGCAAAACAGAATTGGAGACGGTTAAGCAAGCAAACTGGGTATTTGTCAAACTGAGTCAGTTAGGTTCTACCTTAGTAAATAACTACCGGCAAATGAGTTTCAATAAAATAGTTATCCGATGTTGTTAGTACATGTTTTTACATCTTGGCGGATGCAAACCATGCAAATATGTTGTCGCGATAACCACGGATAGTTAACCATCTAAAATGGAGGGATTAACGCAGTCAAATTCAGGGATTTGGGATCTCACTTCCACTATTGCAAAGACCACTCAGGAGTGAAGGGGGCGCAACCAACCAAAAATCAGGATGCATTGGGAGTCAATGCAAACTTGAGTATCTTCTATCATCTCGTCTTCCAAGGTCAACGCAAATTTTCCATCATTCCTCACATACTTTCATATTATGTAAAAGCCAAGCGACGATGGAAAACATAGTCAATATATTTTAGTAAACAGTACGCTCCAGTGATCGAACGAAAATCAACATTCTCAAGAGGTGCAACATAAATCACTATATCAGACTATATCATCTAAACATGAGTTATCTTCCAGCACACAATGTTTCTCGACCACAGTATCTGAAACTCAGTCACGCGCTTGGCACCGCGGCCGCGCATGTACTCCACCAGCGCTTTGGGGTATCTCGAAAGAACATAGGCTGAAGTATCAATGTAGAGATTTGGAAACCTCAGCCAAACTTCCAGTGGGTAACTTCAGAATCTAAGAATATGGATGACCAATGATGACCAATGACCTGCTGGTTTTACGTCCCAGAACCTAAAGTCAAATTGGAAGAATGCTTAGATTTTTTTAAAACTGAATCTCATTTGCAATTTGCAGCTGTTTTGGTCCTTTGGTACGGACCAATGTCTGATCCCTGGCCCTCTGGCAATCAAGATCTGCGAAAAGAAAAAAACAAAAAGTCCTAGGATTTCAATCGTTACTCTCCGTTCAAGCATTGCGTTGTCATTCAAGATTACGGATTTTCAAACCAAGAAACATGCATGCAAACAGAAATGTATAATTATGAATAATTATGTATATATATATATGTGTGTGTGTGTATATGTATGTATGTATGTCTGTCTGTCGGTCTGTCTGTCGGTCTGTCTGTCTGTCGGTCGGTCTGTCTGTCTGTATGTATGTATGTATGTATGCATCGATGTATGTATCCATGTATCCATGGATCCATGTATCCATGTATCCATGTATCTATGTATTTTTGTATCTATGTATCTATCTATCTATGTATGTATGTATGTATGTATGTCTGTGTGTGTGTCTGTATGTATGTATGTATGTATGTATGTGTGTGTGTGTTTGTATGTATGTATGTATGTATGTATGTATGTATGTATGTGTGAATCGGAGGTTAACTCCCCGATTATGTGCTGTTGTTTGATCTTGAGGTTGATGTTCTCAACAACGACGACGCGGGAATTGCAGTTTCAGCATGGCGGCGTTTTCTCTTGGCACCTGCAGTGATCTTGAGCCAAAGGAGCAGATTGATGCACCCCTTGGCGGTGGACAATTAAGAGCTGAATTATATGGGAGTGTGCAGTGATCCGTAGCCTACACTCCATTCGCACCCCCCACGCATGGCCAACTTTGTTGGCCACGCGCAAAGGAGTGTCCCTTAAATTGATCCACTACGTCTGCAGCTGTTCATTTATTGAATTATGGAGAGCTAAAGTCCGTTCAGAACTTCAAATCTACATGGCGGCTTGCTACGATCTCTACCAAAAGATAAAGGTTCTGTTCACGTGCATGCTGACACGACGTAGTCGGTGTCCAGCATTGAGGTTCATCCGATGTGGCGTAGCCAGCATGGAATCCCACTCAAGCATGTGAATTAAAAAAATCGAAACACAAATATGACTATGGAACTAGAAGATTACCTTCCCGTTCCTTCGTCGGTTGAGATGTAGACCGCTGTAGAAATTCAGCGTCTCGTGCAATGATGTTCTAAAAAAAATGTGGTTCTAAATTAGCCGGCTCAGAGTCCTCTCAGAAATCATTCAAAATGATGTAGAGGTAAATCTCGAGCAATGATTGCATCCTCGCTTCGCCAGGTTCAATCAGGACCTATGCAGAGGTCATATCGATTTATCATCTATATCCCCATCCATAGTACCCATGTTGGTTCCAGTCTCCACCACGGTGCGAATAAGATCTTCCACCTTTCCCTTGGTCTTTTCCACCTTTATGTGGCGGGGTTACTGGAGCTTGTTTTGGCGGAGGAGCGGCTTCGACGGTTCTCCAAGTTGCTGATGATGATGCTTTTGCTTTTGATACTCTGCCCAGTGCTGGAGCTGCCTTTGGGGCTGCTTTCGATTTGCCAGCGACCGGGTTAGCACGTTCACGATCAGCAGGAACTGGGGTATCAGCAATCGCAAGTATGTGGGCGTCTGACATGTGGATGCCCCATCTTGGTCGTGGATCATCCCGTTGCTTGATGTGGTTGTAGTCATCGATTGCATCATACAGCTTCTGGAGTAGAGGTCGTGGCAATTGTCGGCCATTTTGAAGGATCAGGTGTAAAAGTGATATTCTTCGAAGTGCGGGACGAAGAGCACACACAATGTCAACTGGGTTCAGTGTGATTGTGTCTTGAAAGTCGACGTTCCTGAAGAAATAAACAGCATTCACTCTGTATGCACCTGCAATGATTCTTCTGACCATGACGTCTTGTCGGTCAAGGGCTTCGCGGGCAGCTGTGGTCTTTCTCATCTCATCCATTGTTGTGTCACGTTTCGACAGCTTCTCCATCTCTTCGTCATAGAAGATATTTTGCAAGTCATCGTACGTGTAGCCACATTCAAGGGTATATATGAGAAGTCGCTTGAGTACCACTGCCCCATAGTATGCATTGACGAATCCCTCTTCCCCGATGTCGTCCTTTTGTTTTGGTCGGCCGATCTCTTTGTAGAGCTCTTTCATCTGTTGTGCAGTTGGTTCGATGAGTTCACCATTTTCATCCTCGCCTAGGTAAGGCACCCTTGAGTCCAGGTCCATCCTGAATTTCTGGTTCTGTTGAAAGTGTTTCCATGCCGTCTCGATGTCTCCACAGAAGTTCCGTTGGAATAGTCTGTAGATCCTGACGATATGTAATCCAATCTGCAACAGGAGGATTTTGATGAGCTCCGGCTGAGCATCTCCAATTGTGCAAGGCTCGATTGGTAGGACCTTTGATCCAAACTCAATCCTCTTCATCCACTTGGGGTACTCAATCACTGCATCACGAGCTTCTCCAGCCTCATACTCCTCAATGTTGATTTCATCGACCGCTATTTCTTCATCGTCATTCTCGTCGGTCGGTTTTCCTTCCTCATTGAGAAATTTGTCGACCTCATCTTGTTCTCTGAAGTCTCTTCTCTCATCATTGATGTCGCCCTTCTTCGAGGCTTGATCATCATTTTCTTCTTCTGGTTGAGGTTCTTGTTCCGGACTTTTCATGGTGACGTCATCATCATCTTGCATCAGTTCGTCGTCATCATCTTCACCTGTCAAATCAATCTTTACCTCCTCCCATGCTTTCTTGACATGGTCTTTGAGATCTTCTTCTCGATGATGTGATTCGGCACTTGGTACTGTAGCCACGGTGATCTTGATTCGCTTCCTCCATCCATGACTCACCAAAAATCCTTTGCACATCACACAAATCGATAGTGGTGCAGGGGTCTCCATCAGACATGCGGGGCATAGTCGATGGTCCTCCTTGCTGGGATGATGAGTGACTGCTAACAATGATATTGCATCATTCCAATCCGGATGTCCTGGGAACAATCTGTGAGTATGACTGAAGTGACCGGTCTTGATATCGACAAGCTTTCGAAGTTCGTTCAGATCGGGTGATGATTCATCAGGCACAATGTTCCCAATGAGTTTGTCAAATCGTTCAATGGTGGCCACCCTTCTTGCTCCTTGCACGGAAAGTACAAGTTGATCTCTTCCCTTTGTGATCATGAGACGGTAGTAGTCCTTTTCCTTCCAATCGTAATACCAAACTGCATCGAATGATTCGAATGGAATTGTTTCTTGGACCAAAATGTGTCCGTCTGCTGATAATCGAGGGGAGAACTTGGCGATGGAATCGTACGTGATGTAGATGTAGACAAGATCAGTTTGTTCAATCTTCCTGAATCTCAGCACCGTCTGACTTCGCACGTCCCACGGTGCGAATGGCACGAAGAACGTATTGATGCGGTCGCCTCCTCCTCCGGGACGTAGTCCTTCTCTGAAGATTTGAGCGATGTTGTCAAAAGTGGTGCAGTGAAATCCTCCTCCAAGAGTGTATCCGACTCCAGGGTTCATCTGATAGGAAGTCTTCTTGTCTTCGATATGCACACCGCCTTGAACTCTTGAATGTGCCATAGGGGCACGGATTGCCACCGGCCAAAGCCAAATCTCTCGATCTGCTGTGCCGATCTCCAACCTCAGTGTGTGTCGTTCAAGTCTCGAGGTCAATCCATCATTGAAGTTGTTCATGACGTATTCCAACTCACCTTTTGTGACCTTGAGTCCTAGCACTTGGGCTCGGATTCTTTTCGTTTGCTTGTACTCGGTGAAGATCACTCTCTGGAAATTGTTCCACCTCTCAACAAGTATCGGGTAGTTGACGTGGGTCGTTCCAGCCAATGTATGTTGGTCTCTCCAAATGTTGTCGTACTTCAAGATCGACTCGACATTGACCCAACCTGCTTCATCGCATGGTAGTCCACGGTGATTTCGATTGTCCTTGACGCAACCCACGGAGTGGCGTAGCGCTGCATTGAATCTTTTTGATAATTCGACTATCCATTGCGGATTTTCCCACTTGTTGCCCATCCACTCATTCTCGCCATATCGATGCACCTTACTCCATCCAAATCCAAGATATTCTTCTCCATTGATGCGAGCAAGTTGAAGTGTACCAATGTTGTGGCCATGTGTGAATGGTTGGATGTACTTGAAGTTCCAGTTGTCTCCACGTTGTTTTCTTTCTTCAGTAAGCCATTTTACATATTCATCATGGTCAATGGGGTTCCAAGCGTTCAGCTCCTCAATGGTCGGCAAAACAGGCGGGGATTCCTCAGCCGCACGTTCAATCAGCATATCAAGCTCATGACGATTCTTCACACCTCGGCTAATTGGGTTGACTTCGACACCATTCACTAAGTATTGTCCTCCTTCTTCACGATCACCAATGTCGTACATAAAGGCTGACTGACTGTAGAAGCACTTGGTCACTTCTTCTTTCTCAGTGAATCTGGTTCTTCCCCAACGCTTTCCTCGTGGCATGACGTTCTTTGGGAGCTTGTCTTTTCTGCCTCTTGTCGCAGCTTTGGACCTTTCCGAAGACGATGGGGATTTGGACTTCTGATCCATGATCAATCTCATGCGCCACAGGGTGTCCTTCATGTTCTCGTCATCAGGTGTGGTACATTCATCAATGTCATGCATTCCACCACAAATGAAACAATATTGAACACTCGATGCGTCTGCAATCAGCTTCTCAAATCGATCACGGATGTTCCGTACCTCAGTTCGGCGCTTCTTTGCTTCCGAAGGTTGGCCCCCCATGTCATCTTCCTCCTCCTCAATCTCGATGTCACCAGCTCCGGCATCGGTTTCTCCTGAAGTCTGTTCTGCTCGAGGGCCCCGCGCCGTAGGCGTCGTGGTCTCCTCTTCAGGCTCGCCAACTTCGT